ACAGAAGTTAATTCATATGAAACTCAGTGGACGACTAGTATACCTCGTAAAGTATAGTGACTAAAAATGGCCAATTTTCAAGTGTTTATTTTTTATTAATTTATACCCAAACACCGATTTTGATCCCGTAATGGCCACTTGATTATGATACAAAGGCCTGATTAGGGCCAGCATGGTAAGGCCACCACCGCCTCAGGAAAAACATGCCTAACATTTACGGGACTAATTTGTTAACGGTATGATACTATACTCAGATCTTTTCCCACTGAAGATGTTTGAGGCTCTTGACGTCCAAAAACGTACCAGCTCATATGACATTATTGCAATGACAATATAAAATGTTCTCAAATTATTCTTTATACATAAAAGAATGAAGAACGAAGAATGAAAAAAAAATGATAATCGTACTACATTACCTGACCACTAGAAGGGATGACCGCAACGGTATGCAATTTCAAGCAAGTTGTAAGTGTCCAATTATTATTTTTCAAGTATTGTGTTCGAAGTTGCCACTTCTGAGACAGTGAACACTACTGGTGTCTTTGCGGTATTTTTTGACACAATAACAGTTTTCATGGGGAGGGGGGAGCATTCCTAACATCTTTTGGTGTGAAACGACTTCTCAACGTTGCAACAAAAATAATAATAAAATATTGTCAGAATAAAGTCACAAGAAGAGCTTGATGTACGGCCTCGGAGCCTTGGGGTGAAATCGATCCCAATGTTCACGCGCGAAGCTTTGGCCTTAGCACAACGCGGTGAGGGAATGGAGGAAACAGAAGAGCAGGAGGAAAGAGGGAGAATGGAGAGTAACGGGAAGGGGAGAGACGGGTAGTGTAGGTGATGGACACGACGGGGGTGTCGGGCAGGAGTTGTGACATGCTAAGGGGTAGGAGTGTCAGATAGAGGAAGTGACAGAAATGAGTAGTGGCAGAGGCGCTTGATTAGAGGGCGGCCAGGCAGAGTGGTGGGGGCAGGGGGTGGTGAGTGGGACGATGGAGAGGAAGGCGTGAGCTCGCGCTTAAGAGCTTGGTTTGCGCCGGCGGTGGGTGAAATACCCACTCGGAGTTTGGGGAGAGAGAAATATCCCATAAACGTCAAATTCAATATATATATATATATATATAATAAATTTTTCGATTTTGCTCGACTTAAAACGGACTATATGCAATCAACGATGTAGCAAAATCGGCTCAACAGTAATGCGATTTTAGATGTTTATAGAGACATGATAAACAAAATAAATTTGCAAAAATTGTTAAATGAACTCTTATCAAAAAAATGCAAAGCCTAGCACAGTTTTTGCAATGCAAGATTGAACTGTCGTTAATCTATTTAATGTCTATCGTAATCTATTTAATGTAACTGAAGTTACATTAAATAGATAGGATAACATAAGAACAACAAATTTAATTATAAACATGACAATTTGAAACACATATATTTTGTATACTTCCCTTCATATTTATTTTCGGTGGGAGATTTAGGGGGACCTCCACCCGGGTTCACTACCCACTCGGACTTAACACCAATCGCCTGCTCTGTGCATATTAACTCTTATCTATTCATTAAATCATAGGAAGCCATAAAAATGATATTAATCAAGTGCATTAAACACAAGCGGAGTAGCAGCAAACTAACTTTTTGTATGCAAGTATTATAAACGACCTTTTCTGTTGCAAGAAATTATTCATAATTGGGCATTTTACGGCACATGTGATAACTAGACCTCGGATTTTAGGACAAATGCCTATTTAGTTCCTTTAGGAAATTGTGAAAAATAATTACATATGTTACCAACCACGAAACAATAGATCTACTGAGCTTAAATTGTCCTAAAACGGCGGCTGCATTTTTCAATTTTTTGGGGGCCATATTCACGCTTTGTAATACGTTTTTCGCCAATATCTGCTAGAGGAAACGTGGTAAAAATAATCTAGTTGGTGATTAAAGGTAGGCAAACAATGGGCAAACGAAGGCGCACTTCAAAGTTTGGTATTTTTAATACATTAGGCAAAATCTTGAAATTTCTTAAAAGCGTGAAATTGGACCGAAAAATTTGTTTTTGCTCTAATTTGTGAACGGGGGCTGGTACAAATTGTCTAAAGGGCGGGAAAACGTGGCCAAACGACAGGCAAACAAATGCACAAAAAAATTCAAAATTTTGAAATTGTTCGTGCCAAGTTGAGGGGGGTTGTTGCGTCCATGTAGACTGGTCATCGGCCTCGGCCACCACACCCGCCGTTTCCCAACTGGCGGCGCCACCACGACAGCTCCAAAACACAACGCCCAGATCCGCGCCCAGTAGCCCGCTCACCACTTATTAACCGATCACACCATAGGCGAGGTGCATCGTTTAAAAGTTCTCACGCGCGTAGGCCGACCTTTCCGCCGTGCGGTCAATAATTCAGATTTCATTGAGATAAATGTTCATATTGATGCTCAAACTAGCGCAACATAATGCATTGCTGTGCTGCCGACATCAGCTTCGGCACGTCAACAAGTAACTTGCCTAAGTAAACTTAACACCAAAGATCATAAGTAAAATCAGTCTCAACTGCGTGCGTAGTTCATTTTTGTTTTAAAGAAAATTCAATAGCTTTTGAAGATTTTTAATGTTCCTACAAGATGTCGTGGAGTGATATCTAAAATTGCACATGGTACTATGAAATAAGAATACGGGGAAAATATTGTCGGAAGAAACTCACTTTTTCCAGGAAGAGGTGGCTCACACGAATATTCTATTGTCATAGAGAAGGAAACTATTATCATTCCAAATAATTGGGAACTGCGGTGTTTATCCAAAGTGTTTCCGGTATTTTATCAAAATGTAAAAAATGGTGGCATAAAAGCGGGCAATTTTATAACAGTCGTTGGTAAGCATTTTCTAAAGGGTGCACAAACATCCCCATATAATGGACAAACGAATGAATTTCTTTTAAATTTCAATGTTTTTGGTATTTTGGAAAAACCTAAAAAAATGTGGTAAAACGTTTTTTCCCAAAAAAGTTTGTATCGTAACTGGTAAATATTTTCTAAAGGATGGGCAAGCCACACACGATGGATGCACAAGTGGTAATGTTAATTTTAAAAATTGCAATGTGTTTCTTGTTGTTGATGTTTTTTTGGATATTTAAAATATATCCAGCATTAAAGTTATTTGCAAATACTTTTCAAACCGTAGCTGGTAAATATTTTCTAAAAGGTAGGCAAAACTCCTCAAATGATGAATAAACGAATTCTCATTAAAATGTTTTGAAATTTCTAAGTGTTTCTTTGGTATTTTCGCAAAATTTTAAAAAAAATAGCGTGATAAAAGATTTTAACCAACAATTGTTTAACAGTAGCTGGTAAATATTTTTTTAAATGGAGAGCAAACGTCCTCACACGGCGGCCAACGAATTCAAATTAAATATTTGTAATTTCTATTTGTCAATTTGGCAATTTTGAGAAATAGCAGAAAAAAGATCTTTTTGGCAATAATGTTTTAACCGTAGCTGGTAAAATTTTGTCTAAAGGGTGGGTAAAAATGGGCAAACGAATCCACACAAACAATTTGCATTTATCATTATCATTTATTTATGCATTTTTAGGCCAGATTCACGTTTTCTGTGTGCTTTGGAATAAGTTTTTCGCCAACATCTGCTAGAGGAAACGTGGTAAAAATAATCTAGTTGGTGATTAAAGATGGACAAACGATGAACCAACGAGAGTGCTCTTCAAATTTTGGTATTTTTAAAATTTTAGGTAAAATCTTGTAATTTTGTAAAAGCGTGAAGTTGACCCGAACAATTTGTTTTTGCTCTAATTTGTGAAAGAGGTTGGTAAACATTTTCTAAAGGGTGGGGAAACGATGGGCAAACAAGTGCACAAGAAAATTCAAAGTTTTGAAATTTTTTCCGGCCAAGTTCACGGGGGTCACGACGCCACCTAACACGAGGAGGCGAGCGGCCTTCCTCCATCGTTCTCTCTCTCGCCATCTCAGCTGGCGATCGGTGACAGAACATGACGAGGATGCATGGATGTTCATCAGTAAAGACCTTGTCTGTGTGTTTTGTGAAATACAAAAAGTTTTTAAGAAAAAAGATGACTTTCATTGATTTTTATAACTTGATAAACATAATTTCTTTAGGACTTTATTTTATAATAAATTTTGCCTTTTAAAAATATATCAAAATTATTAATTAGAAAATTAAATTTAGTATTTTACCTACAAAGTTTATTTCATTTCCCCTTCATCCCTAATCAGTGAATAATGGTGGTGGTAGTGTGTGTGTGTGTGTTTATGGTTACTGATGAAAGCATTGTGCCCTGAGAGACTAATCCCTATCACGTCCATGTTCTCAGCTGAGCACCCAGCCGGACAACTCACTGTGTGCGCCGGCGGTGGACGATTACTACTTCAATACTTTACTCTAAAACAAACTTACAACTTGACATCTATACGTTTTTAATTGAAAATATGGTCATCTTAATGTTAAAATTGTTACAAAAATTTGACGAATAATTTCAGCGTTTTGTTTATTTTTCCGTGTTTAAATTTGCCTATGGTGCAGAGGAAAAAGTGTTGTTTTCATTAAGGAATAACTCTGACACCACATCTCTCTGCTAGTACTATGAGATAAAATACAAAAATTTCATCTCTTTGGCCAGTCTTTTTCAGATCCGTACAAAAAACATAAAAACACCATATCGAAAGGATTGATAGAAATAACTTTGACTCTTTATCGCAAGAATAAAAATGTTTTGGACAATCGTATACCACGGAAATCATTGTGTCCAACATGTAATTCCAAAATTTCAGCGGCAATTATTGCATCAGAGTATTGTCTGTATCTCTGCAGAAACAATAAGCAGTATGCTTACGTACGAAGCAGAGCTCTTATTGGTCCAGCACCCCGGCGGAAGAGCGCCAATCAGTGCGCAGGCCGTCCCGCACATAAATGAACCGCCAGGGAGTGGGCAAGCGATTGTCCGACGCGGCGCGGCGCAGCCCAGCGATGCAGCGGCAGAAGCGGTTGACGGGCGGGGGCGGGGGCGAGGTGGGCGTGGCGGTGCTGCTGCTGCTGGGAAGCTGCGCGCTGCTCGCCCACGCCGACAGCAGCAGCGGCAAAATGTCGGTAAGCTCCATGCGTCAGGGCAGGCAGAATTCGCGGCCTCTCACCGCCACTGCACAGCAGTGAGCTGGCCCTGGGGGTGGGTAAGACGAAAGGGGATAGGTTGGGGCATTTAAGCTGTGCGGAATGAAAAACGTCGGCTTTTGACATGTAAAATTCTAACGCTAACAGTCTTATTTATGTGTTAGCAGGGGAGGAAATAATGCATATACTTCAAATTAAGAAATACTGTGTAACACAACGAGATAGGTTCCAAATCCTTTTCTTTTTTTTTATTGTTATTTAAGGTCGCATCAACTACTAGGTCATTAGCGACCACTATTGCTTGTAACGGTATGGTAACTGTGGGTTGACACGATAATGATGATGATAGGGGGTGAAAGGACGAAACACAATACAACCATGCCCGAGGCGGGACTCGAACCCGCGATCACTACTGCCTTAGCGATCTCGGCCACCGGATCGGCATCCTTTTCTTGTTTGCTTTTCTTTAAACAATGTTGTCTATTTTGGAGAAAACGTTTTCGAATTCTTCAGCCGTAGACAACTGCGGAGGTTTGCGTCACCCAGAGACTTTCGAAATTTATTTTTCTTTGGATTCAGACAAGAAACTAATCTTTGACGGTTGTACTTCAGCCCAACCGCTGTCATAACGTTTGCGGCTTACGTATTAAGTACCGGAAGTCGTTTTGTGGTCAGCTACTCGTCGCGCCGGCGCGCAGTTGGCGCGCCCGCGCTTTGGAACGCAGGATGCCTGGCTCCTCTGGGGTGACTACGTTGCCTCCGGGCGCCGCAGCAGTTATGGTTGATTGCTAGTGATTCCAGGCGCATCAACTACTACGGTCACCGGTCCTGTAAGTGTAGTGCATGTTTTCCTCGGTGGGTGGCGGTAGTCTTCCTCCGCTGTTTGGCGAGATCCGGGACCGAACTACTGTCGGCTAGGGGAGTTTTCTCTAAATACAGGTATCTCGCACCAGCGGGGTGCCGCTCCAGCCGGCACAAGCTTTGAGCTCCTGACCGGTCTCATGGCATGCGTGGTAGTGTAGTGCATGTTACTATAAATGTGTGTGGGGTGAGTTTACGACAAGGAAGAGGTAGGGAAGATTGCATGCGGTTCGTGGCCAGTTTGTTAGGGTAGTGCTCCGGCATTCGTCTAGTGTTGATCGGAGAAACCATGTAAAACTACCGATCGGAGCAGCCGGTCGCTAGAATTCTTCTCCAGACAGCCATCGACCTCGAACTAGCTGACAAGCTAGTGTCGAAAATGTTGCCGCTGTCGGAACTCAAACATTAGGTCCCCGGTCAGAGGGACTGCAGTGACATCAGTTGATGCCCTGACCCAACTCTCCCAGTTACAGGTTATGGTTATCAGCTCCATAAGAATAGTGCATGTTAAGATATGGCGATGATCCTTTTCCACTAGAACGTGAGATTCGACACCAACCTACTCATCCTCTTGCGGGGTTTCCCCCTCCAGGTATCGACGAGCGGGGCTCCGTCCCAGCCGGGATAAGCACTAAGCACCCGTCATTGGTGGCACTGTAGTGCATGTAGGTAAATGTGTGTGTAAGAGAGAGAGAGAAAGAAAGAGAGAAAGAGAGAGAGGAGAGAGAGAGGAGAGAGAAAGAGGGAGAGAGAAAGAGAAAGAGAGAGAGAGAGAGAGAGAGAGAGAGAGAGAGAGAGAGAGAGAGAGAGAGAGAGTAGCAAGAAGGAACAACTTCCTATTCAAACATAAGTTGTATATTTGGTTTCAATATTCCTGTCCCTAGCGGCCATTCCCATCTGCGGTACATCTATACAAGTCCTACAGGTTTGCCACCTCGGACCAGCCTGTCCGATTTTCTAGCGACCGGCTGCTCTCATCTGTAGTTTTTCATGGTTTCTTTAGTGAGTGCAACAATTAACCAAAAATTATTATTGATCAATTAATTTGGAAGCAAAAATTCAATTAATTAAATTACAATTTATGCTCCAATAATCGATTACAATTAAATTGAAACGAAAAATAATTATTGTTTTCTTTGATATCCTTTGATGAATAATTTCTTTGATCTGAGGGAGCTTCTCGGTTTTTCCCCACCTTCATCCCAGTTGCCATCTATCGCCGCCCAAAGTACATTTATTCATATTTTCTAATTGTTTCCATCCCCTAATGGGGGAACTCAAAAATAACTTCCAGAATATTGTAGATAGGTAAAAACTATTCCTTTATGAAAGTTTTGGTTGAAAAATGTGGAGCCGTTTTTGAGAAAATGTCATTTAACTGTTTCCTCAAAAGCGAAATTTGAAGCTCTTTTTCAAACAACACTTATGAGTTTACGAGAAACTTGGAACTCATTTGAATCACAACAAATGCAATAATGTATACAAATCGCTAATAATGTAAATATTAATGGTATGAGAGATATTTTAAACAAATTAAATTGGTATAATAGCAGTGCATTGTTGCGCTGCATATAATTTTTAATTTCTCGCACTTGCAAACATTAGAAGAAAAAGTGTAGTACTCGTGCGCCTGAAAACGGCGAATTTTCGACACAAAACTCATTGCCGGGCCCTAGAAACGAAAAAGTGGATAAAACCAATTGCTAAAAATAGAAAAAAATTCTCTAACACGTGGTATATCCAGAATCCGTGTTTTGTGCCGTCCCTTCATACCGAAAAACCGATTGACGGCAAAAGACGTCTGTTCCGTCCGTCTGTGCACTACGCTAGCGCATAAAACCGTTCAGCTCACATTCTCCAAAATTGATATTCCTCAATCGTTCTAGCAGAATCGAAGAACCTGGACTTTGGATTAAACCGATATTTTAATTTTGGGGGTACTTTACATAAAGCCCCTGAAGACATTTTCAAAATTTTCAAAAAATAGCTCCGAATTTTTGATTAAATTTTGTTGTTGAAAAGTGCAAATGGCGTTCAGAAAGTGGTGCAGATTCTCATTTCGCTGACATCCCTGATTTTTCGAAAAATTGGGAGAAATAAATGAAAACTACAAAATTGAAGATAGAAATTTTGTCTCCGACAAAGTCTGTTGCTCTCATAAAAATGTCATGTACAATTTTTGAAAAAAAACAAATAGTTTTGTCGTAAGCTGGGAATTAAAATTACAATTGTTTTTCTCAAAAACCGCTCCAATTTTTGTCTTTAAATTTTTCTTCACATATTGTAAATAAAGAACAGTAAGAAATATGGTGCCGTCGCATTTTTCGGTAGAGCTATATTTTTTTGAAAATTGCAAAAAAGTTTCATAACTACAAAATTGAAGATGAATATTTTTGCCTAAGACAGTTTGTTGTACAAAATTAGCTCTTTAAAAAAGTTTTGTACAATTTTTGAAAAACCGAGTATTTTTTGCGTAATTTCTGCTTGAAATTAATAAAATAATACAGGTTTGACACCCAACACGCCAGCAGAGAAAAATTGATTGATATGAAAAAATAATTAATTTTAATTTTAATTATCATAAGTAAATTACAATATTAATTTTATTTTTGCTTTCTCGCTTGTTTACAGTTTACGCCACTTTGTATTCTTAATGTATTGATGTATTCTTTTTAAGCAATCCTCAAAGCTTAATAGAAATTTCGCAAACAATCGCGGCATCGATATTTGAGAAGCTAATTGTTGTTCTAATGTCGAGATATTGGCGGTGATAAGATACAGCTGTTTTATCTTAGTTCAGATGGTGTTGCTACTTCCTAGGCGAGAGCCATTGGTATATAAATTACTCCTCCGACTGCCCGGTGAGGTATTTATATACCATTTAATATCATCTGATCCTAAAACTATTTAACTGCGTTATTGAATAAAAGATAAACGATGAAGCGCTGTGGGACTTATCTTACGACGAAGGCAACTCACAAGTGGACCAGCCAGATTTTCGTAATTATTTTGATGTATATTGCACATATTCTAATCACCTATATTGACTTATTATTAGCCAAGTGAATGCACATAGTTTTGACGTGAACGCTGGGCTGGCAACAGTCCCGCGTTGCTAGCTTCTCTGCTTGGTTGAATTTGGTCGTTTTTCCAATGTATCTCGCAATGCTGATGGTTGTTATATATTTATATGTTATATATTTATATTACGTTAGCTGTTCCAATAAACGAGAAGTAGTGCTGTTTGTAATCGGTAACCAGTTAGTAATTATCAGTGCTCTCGAACTAATTTTCTCGCAGTATTATTTACTGTTTGCACGAGTGAGGTCTTAAATTGTTCAGTGTGTATTTTTGTTTATTGCTACAATTTAATTCTAATGTCTTCGGAAATGTAAGGATCAGGAAATTAGTAGAGTTGCCGAGCTAAAATGGATCTGCCCAAAGGTTATCGGGGGAAAGAGACCAATAGACAAGTTTTCTTTAGAGAAGGTAACTCACTACGGAAAGAAAGCCAAATCAGGACCCCAAGATACAGCCGAATATTATTTCAACATTTAAAGGTGAAAATTCTACCATATCTAATGGACATGAGAATCGAATCCGAACGATCTAATGCAAGTATACTTTCATAATCTTTTATTCTTCCCATTAAATCATGCCAAATATTTACAAATGATGTGTTCCAGTTATACAAGAACTATTTATTCAATAACCGATAAATTAGTGAATTTTGAAACAATAAATAAATCAAAATTAGTTATTTTACTTTCCAGGTATACGTACGTATATACGGAGTAATACGTACGTCTGGTCCATCCTCCGTCCGTCGTTTAGTGTCTATGAACACTACATGCGCCTACACCATGCATAGTTTTTTTTCTTTTCAAATTGAATAAACGCTTGTCCCTCTGTCTCGAGTCGCAACTTTGATATTTTGAAAAACATTCTTCAAAATTTGGAGGTACTTTACATCAAGCCCTCCGGACATTTTCAAAATTTTCCCAAAAACGGCTCCCAATTTTTTTTCTTTAAATTGATTTTAAGAATAAAGTAACATACACTTATAAAAGTGGCCTAAGACCGATTTTCAAGTTAAACTCAAAAGTTTCGAAAATTTCAAAAGTATGAACTTTTTCGGTGTCTTCCTACAACTGCCAAATCAAAGATAGAGAATTGTCTTTCAAATGAAATTTGTCGTCCATAGTGAGTTTTTTCATTAAGGTCATGTATATTTTCTTGAAAATTTTAATAATTATCGCGCAATATTGCGTGCAATATTTGCAGTTTTAAAGAATTCAAAAACAAATTTTTCTCCAAAATGGTTCCAATTTTTTTTTTTTTAACTTTTGGTAGGAATTGTGCTAAATGCACTCTGACATAAACGCATGACGACATAAATGCATATTGCTCAATTGTTTGGTATTTTCAAATAATGCAAAAATGAAATATTTTTGACGTGTCTCTCACGTCGTTAATATTTACACTGCCGGCAATTTGTTCATATATATTTATGAGTATGTGTGCTTTAAATAATGTCGTACAAAGCTTCTCAAGAACTCAACCGTTTGCTATGAAAACCAGCTCAAAATTCTGCATTTTCAGAAACGCTCAAACGCCATTTTCTCAAAAACGGCTCAAAATTCTTTCTTCAAACATTTCTAACGGATAGTACTAATTGCACTCTTTAATATAACGCAGAGTTAATTTCGGCGTATTATTTCGTTTTTTCAAAAATTACACAAATGTTTTTGAAAGATCCTTCACGCCGTTAATATGCACATTTCTAACAGTTTGTAAATCCTATTGTATTTGTGAGTTAGGGTACTTTAAATTACTTCTAATGAAGTTTTTCGAAAACTGAATAATTTTGTGTGAAAAGAGGTTCAATTTTCGAATTTACAGTAGCTTAACCGCCATTTTCTTAAAAACGACTCCAAATTTTTAAATGAAAATTGCCATTCAGGACAAGGTTTCTCTGTTTTTTTAATATTCATAAAATAATATTTCCGTCCTATTCTTAGGAAAACAAAAAATTAAGAAAATTTCAAAAAAGAAAGTACTTGAGGCAGCGATAGATGACAGCTGACAAGAGTATGTTGCGAGTCCGAGTAGCCAGCCGGGGCCAATGGAAATAGAAAACTAATACGGAAAAGTCTGTGCCATTCGGTAGCACCACTAGTTATTAATGGATTAATAATTAATAGAAAGAGTTATGCGTACGATCAATTACATGAGAATTCTAAAACAGTATCACAACAAACAGTCCAAGGATCTCGCGATCTTCCTTTCCTCTCACTCACACACAAACACACACACACACATACATTCTTACATGCACTACAATACCATACATGTCGGGAGCTTAGAGCTTGTCCCGGCTGGGGCGGAGCCCCGCCAAGAGGAGATACCTGGTGATTTCCCCGCAAGCCATCGTGTAGAACGGCGCTGGGTCTCGCCATCGAGCGGAGAGGAAAACCGCCACCTCGCATGGTAAAAACATTCACTTCGTCATCGTGACAAATGACCCTAATAGTTAACGTGCCTGGAAAGATCAATCAAATCATTTAAAGTATCTCAGAGCGCGAATTTTAAAACAGTTACCTAATCGCTCCTCTTTCTCTCTGGCAGGGGCCGTACGAAATAGTGCTGGAGAAACTGGAGCGGTGCGAAGACGAGGGGAAAGGTCTGATTCAGTTCAAATACAAAATGACAAGAGCGAACAGGACGCACTACGCACTAGACATTTCGTGGATGCTGAACATCACCTTTTCCGATAACCTGAAGGTAATCAAGAAAAATCAGGATATTGTGTCGTATTTACAGTCGACTCCGGTTGTAGTGAACGTCTGAGGACTAACATTTTTGGTCATCTATATCCGATGATGTCAAAATTAAATAGAATTTCTTTATAACGATTGATTTTATTAATACAGAGATGTAGCAAAATACATTAACAGCACAATCTGGACATTTTAATATCATTATTTGTCCTCAAAAAATCAATTATTTTTAATTGTTTGCTTCGAACATTTTTCATTGGTAATTCTTCCAGATCCTTCTCAAAAGTTCGTGTTCTCTCCATTCTTTATTCTGCATTGTCCTCTGTGTCTAAGTGTCGTAATGAAGTCTTGTCATTCTTCAATGCCTCTTGCACTGTTGGAACAACATCCCACTATAACCGGGGTTCTGGTTCACTATAACCGAATCTTCTTACGCCTATTTATAATGTAAGTGAAACGGGACTAATGACAAGTTCACTATACCTGAGGGTTTTCTATATCTGAGTTCACTAAAACCGGAGTCGATTGTAATAAGTATATAGTAGTAATGAGTATTGTGTCGTATTTATTCATTACCTGTGAAATCGAAAATGCCTTGCCCGGAAGCTCGCGATGAAATTAATAGATTAGCTATTAATCGGTCAATTTTAAATAAAACGTCAACACAAAACCATGTTCAGAATATAAAATGCATGGAAACAAAAAGAATTATACGTCTATTTAACGGCACGTCGAGAAAAGAGCAAATATTCTGGTTGTTCTTTCATAACATACGACTTATTCCGATGAATTACTGTAAATACTTATTGAAGTACGTTAAATTTAAAATATCGAGGTTCGAGATAAACAGATAAGACCATGTTTTTTATATTTCTCGAATCTCATGTTTTTATACTCTATATTAAATGTGATTACTGTTTTGTGTTTCAGGCTGTTATAAATATTCAGAGATGGCGTTCAATTGGAGGTTGGAGCCCGAATGCCTTCCATCATATCAGCACAAAACCATGCTCAGAATGTATACAGTACGGGAAGCAAAACTTCAAGCAGTTTCTTTCACTAGCTGGTCTCCCTGCGAAGTGTCCTATAGAAAAGGCAAGTAGTGGACACTTAATGAAAGCGAAGGGTACGGACGTGCCCAAGAGGCCTCGAGGTTCGCCCTGAAAGTCACGGTCGCGGACCGGCAAAGGTGGCTCAAGGGCATCAACTGATGCCACAGCAGTGCCTCTGAGGAGAAACATTCCAATGTAATCCCACTCCCGCGGCGCCACCACAATGTAAAACCACCGCTAGAGGCGGACCTCGTCGAGTGGAAAGGTCCGTGTCGAGGCGGCGGAACCTAGCCTCCACGACTAGTGTCCCGGCTTGCGACTCACAAGTTGTGAGTGCCCCTGCAAGGGCTCTGCACACAGTCCCTTGCCACCTCTGCCCTGCCTGGCACCATCTACCAGCATTCTTGCATTATTTTTCCTCTCCCGCCCCGGAAGGGATACAACGCCTGGACAGATTGGGCATCGAAACCACAGTTTGAACTTGTGAGCGGTCAGACCAGGAACATTTCTTACACATTATAATTCTAGATTTAATTATTTGTTGAACTTGAATTACTACACTATACAAGAATATTTTCGAGTTGAATAAACTCCTAGCCTCTGTTGTCTATTAGGTCAACTGCACAGGTAGGAAGTTTTCCTTTTCTTATTGGATAATCTGTTTTCTTTAATTACTGGTAATTCACCAAGAATAAGTTCATCACTGATCTGTTTTTAAGAATAGGTAATGGATAAATTATTAATTACCATTGATAAATATTTTTCCAATGGGCCTCTTTGTGAATAATATTGAATTTTTTTCTTCATCACAGAAATTTCTAAAGATCTTTCTAAGTCTTCTATTGGGGTGAACATTACTTTAACTGCGTCTTTGTTGTAATTGTCAAATTATTTTTAGATTGTTTAAATGTCTTCTAACAGTTTAGCATAATTATCAACCTTGTGAACTTTTGTACAAGGAATTTGAATAGCTTCCGATTCGCAGTCATTCATTATGTCATGTTCTTGAATTTCCAAATTCTTGCATGGTTTCATGTTCTTTTTTTTAGCCTAGTTATGTGATGTAACTGGGATACACAGTTTCATTTTACCTGATAAGTAAGTTATCGTTTTTTGGTTTCTTTCCCACATTCATGAATTGCGGTATTACTGAACGTGATTCTCGAGACTGAGGCGAGCCGCTCTTCTGCTGCCAAGATTGATACATCGTCAGTTACGATAGGTTGCGTATCATCCTGTTGAGAAGGCTGCCCTTGCTGCCAGTGGTGTTGTTGTAGGAAACTGTTTCTTTGGCTGATATAATTGAGGCAGTTGTTGACGCATATAAATTAATTGTTACCCCTGCTGTTAAATTGTCATTTGTTAATGATATTCGAGAGTTGTAGTAGGTACAGTATCTTCGTTTGAGACCTCCATAACTGAGGATTAGAATGATCTGAGCGTATTTCCAGGATTGTGGGAAATACCCTACGCGTAATATTGCATTGAACGTTGAAGTGATATCAACGATGAGATATCATGTAATGATAATGTGAAGGGATATCACGATAAAACAAATCCTAAGTTGGTGCCACGGGTATTATCTGTAATGTGTTTAAATTTCATGTTGATAGATTAAATAGGTTTTGCCAAAAATTGGTTCGTACAAACGGACATTGATTTGTCATAAGATTCGCTTTGGTAATCGAAAATCAAGTTGAAAAAGTATTTAAAAGCTGAAAAATAAAAATAAAAGGCACAGACAGACACTTCAGATTTATTTATCTGTATTGATGTACTGATAATGGTTTGAGCCTCTAATTTCGTATCAAATGTGCTTGCAGATGATATTTTCACTCATGACGATGAGCTTTAAGAAGCAGAGGGGGGTAGATTCCAGTTTAACGCCGTCCAAATCGAAAAGTACTGTTGAAAAGTCGCACAATCAGTTTTGTGATTGACGTGGACACAGAAATGTTCGTGAAATCTCCAAAAATGTAATGTTAGCATTTCTGAACAAGTAAAAGGATTTGAAACCTTTAAGTCTGTGGTCGTACTTCAGTGTGTTAAAAACGCATTAAGGTAATGAATACTGATTTATTTAAATTGATGGTCATGAATTTTCTAATAATTTAAAGTGTAGGATATCTCAATGTAAACCTAATTGAAAATATTTGCATACATTGATATCATAAACTCGGTGAATGAAAAATAATATTCTATCTGATATCGACCAAACAAATTGAGTGCTGACTTGAGTTTGCAAGGGATTACTTTTAAGGAAATGTTTGAAAATAGTACATTTATATTTGTGTGCTTAATAATGTATGTATAGTAGAGCTCAAAAAACCGCATCACCTAAAGAAAATGGGCATTCTGTGTATCTTAATCCAATCTGCTTTCAGAAATTTTAAACAAATATTAGTAGAAATTGGTAATCGTGTATTTTATGTGGATTATATGTTTCTGATTTCATTACTCGCTCGATTTTTGCTAATCAAGTGTTGTATTTTCAGGATTATATTGCAGATTACAACTGTGAGAAAGGTGATGCGGTTTTTTTAGCACTACTGTAGTACATATTTGGCAGCCTGTGCCCTGCTTTTATTATTCACACTGGGAGGCTAGTAATTCCGGGCGCATCAACTACTAAGATCATTAGTCTCGTAAGTGTGGGACATGATTTTGCTCGGGATGTGACGGTGGCCTTCCTCGGCTGTATGGCGAGATACGGCCCCGACCCACCGTCGGGTAGCGGGGTTTTCTCCAACCCTGTATCTCCACCAGCAGGCCACCGCCCCAGCCGGGACTATTTCGAAGCTCCCGACAGGTCTCCAGGCATGTGTTACTGTATGTGTGAAAGGGGTGAGGGTAGGACAAGGAAGAGGGAGAAAAGATCGCGCGCGGTCCATGACCCGTGTGTTAGAGTACTGCTCCCGTATTCACCTCGTGTTGATTGAAGAAACTGCGAAAAACTACCGATCAGAGCAGCCGATCTCTAGAATTATCCTCCAGACAGCGACCGAGTTCGATCTAGCTGACAAGCTAGCGGCGAAAAGCCTGCCACCGTCGGTACTCGGACCTAGTTGATGCTTGAGCAATCTCTCCCGGTAATGTGGTAATATAGTAATGATGATGATGATGATGATGATGATGATAATAATAAGCATAACAATAATAAATAACAACTGGGGTCACCTAGGTTCATTAATTTAACTACTTGAGAATGGGCAATAGATGGCAGGTGCCAAAACGTATAGTATCATAAAAACAACAGGGTTCATATTCGTTTAAGCCTGAGTCCTTCAAAAAATAAATAACTCGACCTCCCCACTACCATTGTGAACGGAATGAAGTCTTAGGTGCAAGTATGATCGCACGCCGGACGACTAATGCATTTGTTAAATAATAAAATATTATCAACATATGGTGCAACAGAATGGCACAGACTTTCCCGTATTCGTTTTCTATTTTCGATGGTCTCGGCTAGCTATTCGGACTTGCTAAATACTCTTGCCAGCTGCTATATATCGCCGCCCAAAGCACTTTTTTTTTTTTAATTTTCATATTTTTTTTTGGCTCTCTAATATCAAAATCGAATTATTACTTAAAAATTATTAAAGAACATTAAAATGGCGTCCCAAATCTCAATTTTCATTAAAAAATTTGCAGTCGGTTTTAAGAAAATTGCATTTAAACGCTATTGTAAATTCGATACACTATCTGTGCAATTAGCACTATCTGTTGGAAAAGATTGCAGAAAATATTTGGAGCCATTTTTGAGAAAATGGCGCGGCAGCGTTTCGGAAAATGCGAAATTTTGAGCTCATTTTCACGAAAACTGTTGAGTTTTCAGTAAACTTAATCTCACATTATTTAAAACACATTTACTCATAAATACATTAGTGTAAAGATATTATCGCTAATGTAAATATTAACAATGTGGGAGACGAGTCAACAAAATTACATTTTGGTAATTTTTGAAAAAACAAAAGAACAGAGCAATATGACATTTATTCCACTTCATAGAGTGCATTTAGCACACTCCCTAGCAAAGACCTATTCTTACAAGAAATTTAAAGAAAAAAATTGGAGCTGTTATTGAGAAAAAATTGAAAATGTCCAAGGGATTTCATGTAAAGTATTCCCAAAAATTAATGATTTTCAAAATCGCAGAGCTTCGACTCAGGCCAAATAGACAGAGGTTTCTTCAATTTGGAAAAAATCCAACGCATGGTTTAGGCGCTAGTGTTGTTCATATACACCACACGGACGGACGGACTGACTTGACTGACTGACGGATGGAACGACGGACGGATGTTTTGGGGGAAAAAAAAAACAACACCTTTTGAATGTCAGTGGATTCCAAAACGCCTATTTCCGTTGAAATCTCGAAATCGATTTTCCGAGCCTCTACATAACTTTCCTTATTCTATGTATATTACTCCATATATACGAGTACGTACGTATACGGGAAAGTAAAAGTCGGAGCCATGCAACTTTTGAATTGGGATAAATTTGTTCTCTCAACAATTTAAAGTATACTTTTTACTACCATGTGTGCGATTTATTGGCTGCTTAATACTTATGCATCCAGGTGTCGATTTTAGAGGTCACGACGTGCGCTAGACATCTTTCTCTGCTGCGCGGAGTTTTTAACGGCAGCGGAAGGCAGCTTCACCGCGAAATCCGAACAGTTATAATGCCGGACTTCGAAACACTCCGGTGTTTATCATTATAATTCAAAAACTATGTATGTAGCATTGATGGCTTTGTATTAACAAAATCTATATATTCGTGTAAATAAATGTTTGGAGGTGATGTTAATAGTGTTTCATTAAAAAAAATAGTCCAATATCTTAAAAATAAAAATGTCAATACAGTATTTCTCAAAATTGAACTGACACCTTTAATGATACCTGAATTCTTCTCGTGTGAATATTTCTAGAGATAAAATATATAATTTTGATATTTGAGGTTTCCTGGAAGAAATGATGCAATTTGAAAGCAGAATAATGCTTCATTAGATGTACAATTGAATAATTTGTTTGATACCTATATATAAATGTTGCACAGAAATGAACGTACACAAACAGAAGCGAGTTTTGAAACGTATCAGTTGAAATGTTTTCCTGGGCACAAAGTACTGACAAACAGATTACTTGATGGTGAAATTCTGAGGAGCGCAAAATAGAGTTGAAATGGTCCAGAGAAGGGAAACGACGGTGAAAGAACGAAGACATTGTCAATTTAGCCATGAGAGGAAGATCACTATAGCTTGAAAAAAATAAAAAATAAAAAAGAGAGAGAGAGAAAAAAAAAAGAAGCCGCATGCGCGAAAAGTGGCGGAGGGGAACGTTTCCTCTCTTAGAGACTTAACTTTCCCGCCTTGAGGAGCCACCACCACCGCCTCGGCCTGGGCGCGCGGGGAGAAGAGAGCCTGTTCTTAACGAACGTCCCGAACCCTAGAGTGGTGAAGCGTGAGAAATAAGTTGCAAGAGCGAATCAGTTATCATTGCAGGCGGACCTTGAGTTCAACTGTTGAAGTTGAGCTTCCCTTCCAGGGCAATGCGGAATGGCGTAGCCACGCGTCTCGAGGTAAGCGACGCTATGATGCTTTTTTACTTTTCAGTATACGGAGTATAGGTAGTTATGTAATGCTGCGGAAAATCGGGAGATTTCAACGAAAATTCTCGTTTTAGGGTCCCCTGATACCGAAAAAGTGGTGTTTTTCAAAAGGTCCGTTTGTGAACATCACTTGCGCCTAAACCATGCGTAGGATTTCTTTTTTCTTCACAATTTGAAGATATTCCTGTCCATCTGGCACGAGTCGAAACTTTGGAATTTTCAAAATCTTTCTTTAAAACTTTGGGGATGTTTTACATGAATCCCCTGGGGCATTTTCAACATTTTCTCAAAAACGTTTCGAACTTTTAGAAAGGATAGTGCTAATTGCACACTTTAATAAAAGGTAAAGTTAACTTTTGATACCTTTTTGTTTTTTCAAAAATTACACAAATATATTTATTTGAAAGATCTCTCACGTCGGTAATATGCATATTTCCAACAATTTGTAAACACTATTGTATTTGCTAGTTAAAGTGCTTCAAATTAAGTTTTTCGAGAACTCAAAAATGTTCAGGGGAAAAGTGCTCCAAATTTCGAATTTACTGTAGCGTTTAAGCGTCATTGTCTTAAAAACGGCTCCAAATTGTTTGAAGGAAATTGCAATTTAGGACGAGGTTTTACTATTCTTTAATATTCTTAATATAATATTTCCGTTCTACTATTAGGATCCGAAAAATTAAGAAAATGTCCAAAAGTGTACTTTGGGTGGTGTTAGATGGCAGCGGGCAAGATTATGTAGCAAGTCCGAATAGCTAGCCGAGACCAAAGAAAATAGAAAACTAATACGGGAAAATATGTGCCATTCTGTAGCACAACTAGTTTTCTAAGTGGCCGAGCTACAGGAGGTATTACAAATATAGAGGGAAGTCCTCATTTATTTATTTATGGTGTATTAAACAAATTCATTTAAGATGGTAGATTAATTAATAAAAGGAATAGTCAGAAAACCGAAACTCAACGAATGAGATAAATGAAATATTGCCAGTGACATTACCAGGAATCCTCGCCAAAGTGTCATTAAAACGACACCGTGGGTGGTTTCAACATCAGAGAGAACTGTATCCATTGAAACCGTCCGAAAGGCACCACGAGACGCTGGTCACTACGGGAGATTAGTCGGGGAGAAGCTTGGATTACTAATGTAAAGCAGCACAATATACTGCAGTTCGAGAAATATCGCAGAAACCACCCTTCGAAGTTCTGGGAGACTGTGATTTTCTGCGAAGAAAGTAGATTCAAGATACTTAGATCAGACTGGCATCAGTACGTGTAGAGAAAAGTTAACGCAGCTTTACAAGATGTTGCGTGCAACTCTAAAGTACGGCGGGAACTCCGTTATGATTCCACGGTTTACAAATTTGGATATTTATCAATTTTAAAATTAATGTCAAACAAAGTGCAGCAAATCTGGAACTGGAGCCGACGTATTACATTCAGTTGAACAACGCGCTCATTTACACAGCGCATATTGTGAATTTATGGTTGCTATATAATGTCCCAAAGCGCCTTGAAATTCCTCCACATCACCTGATCTCAATCCTTTGAGAACTTGCGGTGTTAATTGAAAAAAAACGTATGCAGAAGCATATATAAAGTTTCAAATGAACAACAGCTCGCGCCTGAATTTACAAGGAAGCCAGTAAAATCAATGCCAGCAAGACTGGAGGCTGTTATTCATGCTAAATGTCGTTCCACAAAGTATTAGCTTATTATTTTTCGTTTTTTATTTTATTTTTTTTATTTTTAGAAGACAAATTGCTAGTATACGAACATTTTTTAGGTAAATTGCATATGCATTAGGAGAGGTTTTAATTGTTATTTTTCATTTATTCACTTATTTCAAGATTTATTTTTAATGTTTTTCTTAAGAATGTTTGCATTAATACCTTTATTCATTTTTTACCTCAAAATTCTGCAATAATATTTTTTTCTATGCCAGTTTGTATTTTCTTATATATTGTCAGTCATCATTGACAACCACCGTAACTACTATGCCCTGAATCGTTTCCATCTCAATATCTTGAATCGTTTAAATATTTGAGTTGGACGTTTTTACTCCCTCACCCAATAATACAAAATTATTAATTGATTCACATGAATAATAATTAATAAATGTTAATTTCATTAATAATTTCTGTTTATTTTTCAGGGCCACTACAGGACTTCTGGACTTATATTGGAAAACTCTCTAACTGAATTTCCTGAAATGCCATACGGAAAATACAAACTTACAGTTACATACTACAAGGGATTAACCAAGATTGGATGTTATGCCACAATTTTTCACTTTAAAGAAAAATAATAATGGTCGTATATAGATAATGTTAAGTACAAACTTTACAATATCAGAGGCGATTCACATGTTCGCAATATAAAGTAAAACAAAATTAATAAAAAATAAAATCTTTGTTTATTTCTTCTCTTTCACCTTCTTGATGAAGAAAAGTTAATTTTTTCAAATTTGAATTTTTGCATCATTTGACATATAGTCCCTCTGTTCTACACAACAATTTCCCCCATTATGTGCATCCAGCGAGGAGAAATATTCAGTCAGAGGTGGCTTGTAGGGTACTGCCAGTGCGTGATGGCACCACCAACAAAAAAGGAAGGAAAATAACTTTTTCACCACAAATGTGTGTTTAAAATATCGTTTCTTCAAAATAGCTTTCTCTAAAGTAATTTGTTTGAATGAGCGCTTTATCTTTGTTTAGCCTAAGAATGATCCTTATGTTATACTAGTTGCGAGACTTATCTTGACGTCTCACAGCGTGGGGTGAGGGGAGAGGAGGCTACTGCCTTCGACTTTCATTACATTTCACTGTTACAAACTTTAAAAAATGATTTACAACTATTTCTTAAACTGAGTTTAGCACACCAATTCGTTTTAAAAAGTTCATAACATCGTGCGCACTTTCAACGCTGTCCAAATAGTTCTTGATGTTCTCAGGAAATCCAATTCTTTCACATTTGTAACCATTACACTCTTTTAATATGTGGAAAATAGAGATTGCAGTTCTACATTTAGGGCATTTGTTCACTGGTGTTTTTGACATGAGATGAGAATGTGACAAGTTAGAGAGACCTATTCTTAGTATGGTCAATATATATTGAACTTTCTTGTTCTTAATGCATGGTTGATGCTCCCACACATTGCTACAAACCAAGTGTGGTCTTGACCTTGAGTTTTCCCATATTATGTTCCATTTTTGCCAGATGCATTGGTTTATAGCCCTTTTTTTGTTCTTCTATAGTAATTGGTTCTTTTGTACAATCGATTCCTTGGGAAATACCTTTTTTGCTGCAGAGTCTGCTTTTTCATTTACAAATAACTCTTGATGAGCTGAGACCCATGCCAAGACTATTTTGATATTATGTTTCATCAAATGTTGTAGTTTTCTTTGTATTATTTGTATTCATGAATTTTTGTTCCCACAGTTCTTTAATGCATCTAAAGTTCATTTGGAATCAGTAAAAATTATGACTCTGTTAAGTTCCGAATTGGTGACTATGGCTTCATCTATAGTGAAGGCCACAAGAAAATATTGAAAATGAATGTGGCAATTTAAAGACAAGTTTTTGGTCTTCAAAGATGGTGGCAATACCTTTTTCTCCATCTGTACATACATGGAGATACTTTATGTAATTATGCAATAATCCTTTGAATAAGCCTTTAGTCACAATGTTAGGAGTGTTGTCTTTGGCATACGTTTCATTCAGAATGTAGTCGTTATTTATAAATTTGAGTTCCTCCCATGGTGATACTGGGTGGATTTGTCATGGCATTAAGGCATTCTCTTTAAGTGACAAATTGTTCTTGATAGTACTTATTCTGTATAGTAAAGGTTTTGGTAGGTTATTGAAGTGCTATTGATCATTGGATATTGAACATCCATAATTAACTTTTGCTCGAATAAATGATCTGTATGTGTTAATTACGATGTCTTGGTTAGCTCCCCAATTTTTGAACCATAAAGCTTTCAGTGTTCATACAAGGATATTATAGACGATAAAATAGACCAAAAGCCGAATTGTAAAGCTAAGAGGGGAGCAAAATATCGTCGTATAATATAAATAAATCACAGGGCACAGTAAAGAACAGGAAAACGCAAGAACTAATTTATTCGAAAGCAGCGGTAGGCAGCCCTGATAATCTTGCCATGCCGTTCCTTGTGAGACCAAGGTTTTGACCAGACCGCGCCGAGTCGTGCTGGGTTGAGCACTAAGGAGCTCAGACGTCAAGAAAAGACGCGCGACTAATAAACAAAGAAGCTTAGTATTCATCCGCAACTACTAACCTCATTAGCCATTGCTCTAGACACCTCGTTAAAATACGCATGTACACGAACTGTCAGAAGCGTACGTAGTAACAGCAGTCCCGCCTGTGAATGAATAAAGCTCAGATTACTAGTAGGTGCGTCCGGAAGGGGCTCAACACTTAAATCGCATATTTCTGTAGTATGACAAGTTTTCTGTGCGTACTCACCTCTCTTCGTGCATTCATTACACTTTAAGACACTCCCGTGGTCCAGGATGTGCGTTCGGCAATCTGTTTAATGGCCAATGAATTTTCTTCAGCCACACGAGAAAACACATTTAAAACTACATATTTTTCAACCAGTATTAATTTGTTACCTCTGTTTTGTAAAACACCTGCCACAGCATCCGCCATTATAAAATGATACGGTACGCACAAAAATTAAAATAATTAAAAAATACTACGACTATCTTGCCGCTTTGGAAATTGCCGACTCGCGAAGCGAGGGGATTTATCTGAGAATTTCCAATCCACGATTGGTATTTAATAGGGCTATTCCACGTGTAAAGTTATGTCCAAGAGATACAAAATGCGCCACATATTGAACATAGCGATCAATGTATACCGCCTCCTAAGATAGATTAGTCCCAGTTCATGACTGGCCATTAGAAGTGGTCAGAAAAATCGGATAAAAAAAAGCGATAAACTGGGCTGTCGCGCAATATAGACAGATGTTTGATAATACACTATATTATTTTTTAAATAATTACCTATTTAAGATATATTTGAAACAATATTGATAAAAACGTTTTACCAAATAAAAGATGGTGAAAAAAGAAAACCCAAGAACTTTTGTAAACACGGGGACCAAAAATGAGTACTACTAAACGCGCAAGTTTTCTTGATATTCCACAGCGGGGTGTGCGGGGAGAAGGCTCTAGCTACGTCCCGGCTTAAAAGGTCGTACCAACTGGGCATAAACTTAACTCGTGATATGCTACGATTGTTTTAAAAGTATTAGATGGTTGTTGCCAGCATTATAAATTGGTACATGCCGTTCCGAGTCGAACCTAAATATCTCAACGTGCCGTGCTATTCAGCGTTGAGCGAGGACTAGGGAGCTCGTGTATCAAGAAAACTTGCGTGAGTAATATTTAGATTATGCAATGAAACAAAACGAATGAATCGACGTGATTAATGAGAATCCAATGGAAAAAATTATCTTTCCAGAAATAGGCAACTAGTCTCAAACAGAGCTGCAGGGAACTTTTAGTGATATTTAATTAATTATGACACATACGGATCTAAACTACTGCTAATTTTAACTGAATATAAATAAATAAAATAAGTTTTTAGTAATCTAAACTTTTATTCAGCAAAACAAATGAGATAGAAAGAAAGACGAATAAAAATGGTTAAAGAATAATTTTTAATTATAACATGTGATTTCAAATGGTTAATTACAATTCATGATTAAAGTTTAAAAAATAATAATAATACCAATATCATAATACCAATAACAACAATAATAATAATAATAATAATAATAATAATAATAATAATAATAATAATAATAATAATAATAATAAGTTTAATAAAATAATTTTGTCTTAACAATTTGGTTTTCATTTTTATTCTTAACACACAAAAATACTACTATATGAACAAATTCTTTCACTGAAAATACTCCATTACAACCATACTTAATAAGCTACTGTTAAGCAAAATATACTCTTCCTTCCACATAAAAAGATTCCTTTTGTAAACACACATCTTTTGGACAGTCATTAATTAGATCAATCAAATTGACACAAGGAAACATTTTCCAAAAGACAAATATTCCATGACAAATGCAAATACAGTGAAACCTGTCTTAAATATATAACTTGTCTATAAAATGTGTGTAGTTTCTTTAAAATTGTTTTGATAATCTGAAGCTATTAAACTCAACTCAAACAAGGGATATAGGATTAATTACTCCTCCTCGACTAGTGCCATACCTTGACTTCATTCACTAATTAAAAAACTTATTTTCTGTCCTTAACAAAACAAACTAGGTCTGAAGGGGGCAGTTCTCATTCTCTGGAAACTTTTGAGCTCAGACATCAAATAAAAGAGTGAATTAACGAAGGTGATCATCTTCTGAAGCTAACATACAATACATGAATGTTGAATCCTCAGAAATCTTTACATCTTTTCCTCTATTCTATTATGGTGAAAAATCATTAGAAATAACCACTTAATACAGGATTATCTATGAAATTTGCTAGGCCACTCGTTGCAAGGCCAGGTGACTGCGTAAAAGATGGAATATTTACATGTCTAGTGCAAAAACGAATCCATTCCAATCAAATATGGCCATTTAAGCAGGTTTCGCTGTATACTGTTACTATAATAATAATAATAATAATAATAATAATAATAATAATAAAACGTTTTAAATAAAAAAAAAAATTCTTTGTTAATCGATACACACAAAAAAGGTCAAACTGCAAAATTGCATAATTATACTTCTAAATGTTTTCTCAAAATGAACCCATATATTCCCATATTAATTTTTTTTATATTCTTGTGTACTCAGTGTCATATGCACGTATGATGCAAGGCCATTTTTAGAGCTATCTGATATAAATTATTAGCAACTTTTACCTGGAATCAATATGTTGTTTAAATAAACCTCTACAGTGTTCCAAAGCACGAAACAATTGGTGCTTTGCTATAAATATTAAAGCCATTGATAAAGCTGATTATTGGTGCAAAGCAACAACTTGCATTATCATTAGCTTTTCCCTCCAACTTAACCACTTACAACACAAAAATTTAAAATATGCATGGTTTTAGAAAAAAAATCTAAACTATGACAAGTTACACCCTGACCAGGGTCTTACAATACTTTAGTGATCTTAGCTAAATCAACAAGTAGCGGTCAGAAATTTCAGAATTTGTATATAAAGACTATCAAGGATGTACATTTCTGATGAGATCATAATATTCACAACCTCAGACATTTGAATGAAGAAAGAGAATGAAGAATGGCCATCGCATATTTGGGGAAATGGGAACATATGTGTTCAAGGATTAGGTGAGTCATTCCATGTCAAATCGCACAAATTTAAGGAAAATTTGACCTTCATGTTCCAGATATTTAAACTTATTTTTTGTGAAGAATATTTGCAAAAATATGAAATTTGCATTGTAAATTTTTTCCTAAGGATGTTTTTGCAAGACGTTTTTAATTCTCAAAGTTTTGAAAGAATGATTGGATTGCTTAAGTTAATGGTTTATGATTTGTGTAGTAATTGTGGCAAAAACTCAATAGTTTGGTACATTAAAGAACAAATGATACTCTTTCATGTGATGTATGCATTGAATTTATCAAGTTTTGTAAAACCATTTTGTGATTTACTTTATTGCTATTTTTTACATTTCTTCCTTTACCTGACAATTAAAAAATTCGAAAAATATACCACTGTATTCTTTGAAGAGTTTTTTGTACGTCTGGTAAGTTCCAAAATGGGACAATCTTTGAACTCACAGAAAAGTAACAAGATGCTGAGACATAGTGACTGCAATTTGACATGGAATGACTCTGGTACATATTTTTTGTAAGTATATCAATAATTAAAACCTGGACATTTTACATGATACTGAAACACTTGACATACTGTTATATTACAATTTCTGTATACATATGAAAACACATACAGGCAATTTCTGCTGATTTAAGATTGGAACACTTAATATCTAATATTCATATAATCTGGATGTACAATAAATATACAAAAGTTGCTTCATTATTTGCAATCTACAAACGTAAATAAAAATATTTTTCCCCAAAAATAATTATACATAAATAATGTCAAAAAACAATAGAAATATATTAAAAATAATATTTATAAAGTGATAGATGAATTGGAATTTATTTCTGTCTTCATTTCAGTCTTTTAGAATGCTTCTTACTATAGTTTAATCAAAAACGCTGGTTGTCATTAAAACACCCCATCACTTTTCATTTGTCGCAGAGCAAGTTTAGCTGCTGTTCTCTTAGCTTCCGTTTTATTTTCACCAACTCCATAATATCTGTTCTTCTCGCCTTTCTCTATTACTTCTAATTCTACTATGACCTTTCTTACGTCATCTATGGGATAAGTTGTGCTGCAACGATATCAATTCATTAAACTATTTGAAAGAAATAATTGTGAATATTACATAAAATTGTGTGTGTGTGTGTGTTGTGTGTGTGTGTGTGGGTGTGTTGTGTGTGTGTATTATATATATATATATATATATATATATATATATATATTAATATATTATATATATATATATATATTAACTGTAAAAGATAGAATAATTAATTTTTTAATTATGTATGATGATGCTTAAAACGTATAGCCCAATAAACATGAGCAAATGTAATTATTTTTATCATCATTATCATTAATATCTAAACCCTCCACGAAGCCTTCAAATGATGTAAAAATATTAATCATATTCACATGCTGAATTTACCAAGTTGGTATACTTTTTTCCTTACATGGATCATTTGAAACCCAACATGTTTGGAGTTAACAATGAATTGTAATTAACATCTGGAAATGATATTAACTTAAATATATTTTTGACATTTGTTTGGCATGTAGGATAATAAAAGTTGAGGTAGAAAAATTCCATTCTTGGCATTAGTTTCACATGAGACTTAAATGTTTGAATTCCTTTCTGGATGTGCCTCTCAGTTAAGAGGATTCAACAATCCTGATGAAGGCACATTTAGGGGGGAAATTGATGTATGTAATTTTACTTACTTAGATTCACATTAACAAAGTCTTTTATTCAATTCCCAAAATAATAATTTTTCCAACTCCATTTTATTATTATGTCTACCAAAGGTTTAGAAAGAAGGGGAGAAAAACGAGGGGAAAAAATCCACATTTTAACCAATATTTGCATATCTTTTTGAAGTAAAAGACTAACATGTTTATAAATACAGAAGAGTTTACAAATTTAAGGGGAGAAAATAACCCAACAGAAGTTGTAAAACAATCGCAGTTTAGATCATTTCTCAGATTTGGCAAGAAGCAAATAAAAGAGTAAACTACTAAGCTGAAAAGCATTAGTGGATTGAATTAATCAATAAATCTTTCTTCATTTCATTCTTAGGTATGCAAGTGTCAAGTACAAACCACAATTTAGAAATAAAATTCATAAATCAATGAAGTGATCTCTTGCCTGACTTTTAATAATTCATTCACACAAAAGATATAAAAATATGTTTTACCTGAAAACTGGAGGTGGGTTGCACAACTCGTAAAGTATTCTAACTGGCTGCTTTGGGATATCTTGACTAAAGAGCTCTAGAAAGAAACAAATTACAGAACTACCTTCAGTAATCGATAATATAGTGGTACTTCCATGTCTCAAATATAAGGATTAATGGCAACTTGTGCTTAGGATGCAAAGTTGCAAAAGTAATGATGGCAAATTTTACTCAAACATTGATACATCATCGAAAGGTTCTTGATGTCGATGAAAAAAAACATTGACAAAAAACATTAATATTTAAAGTATTGATGCTTTTAAAATATGATAAAACGTGATCTAACTGATAGAAAGCAAAAGTTTAAAGTTAAGTTGATGATTATTATAGTGAAGATCTCACAATTGGACTCCACTACTGTGGAGTACCTCAAAGAACTACATTAGATTCACTCCTATTTACTATATACATTAAGGACATATTCTAAGTCCCAATAAAGGGTGGACTAATATCTTTCGCTCATGATGCAAGTATTACAATGACAGGGGAGTCTTGGGAGAAAGTGAGATTGATGGCTTAGTACAATTTGCACCAAATAGTAACATAGTTAAATAAAAATGCACTGAGTTTGAATTAAAAAATAAGTGTATTTATAACTTTAGGTAGCTACACAGACAGTGTACCTAAATCACGCACCTTGAAATTACGTGAGGTAAACTGCGATATTCAAAATTGTAACAGTGATGAAATACGAAGGGTTAGAGAAACAAAATATTTAGGTTTATATATGGATAAAAATTTGAAATGGAATTATCATCTATTCCAACTGGCCAAGAAAACTAGATATTAAATTTTTATTTTAAACATGTCTGAATTCTTGGAAACAAAACAATTATCGATGCTTTACTTTGCTGTTTTCTGGTCAGTGGGTACTTATGATATCGTAGCGTGGGAAGACACCTATGACAAAAACTTGACTCCAATGATGAATGTTCATAAGAAAATGTAAAAATTATATTTAAGAAAAATACCAGGTACCCCTCTGAGAATTTATTTAGGGACAAAAATCTGTCAGACAACAATTTTATAAGAAAAAATCAATTTGTTGTAATTAAGAATGGACGAAACATATAAGTTCTCGAACTTACTTCAACTGGGAGAAACATGAACGTTACGCCAATGAGAACAAAACAAAATATGTGTAATAGACAACATAATATATTGTATCTGAAAGCCTACAACGATTTGAGAGTTACTTTAAAACTAAATAATGAACAGAAAATAAAAAATTAGTTATTGAGGAGACACCTCGTAGCTTAATCAAGAGAAGAAATATTCTCTTACTTAGAATATTGTTCTTCAGTAAATTTTTCTTTTTCTCTCATTTTCTAGTCATTTTTTAATTTTTTATTTTTCTATCATGTATTTGTGAAATGTAATGCAAGGAAAAACAGATGTTAGTCCATCGGAAAGATATTACATAATTTAGTCCTTAGCTTAGTCCCATTCTATGCAATAACTGCCTTCAGCTATCTATGGATATTTAACTTTTTCATGTAGACAATATACATGTCTATATGTATGGTAATATGGTAACATGGTCTATATTTGGAAAAACTATATTCAATATTTTCAAATGTGGTGATTCCCCATCATATTTAATTATAGTAATTAAATGTTTTTTTATTGTTTGGTCATGTATAAATAATATGTTAAATAGTAATATTTATTGAATGTAAAGAGTGAAATAAAAAAAAGGAGTATCGTGTTTTGCTATTTTTCCATTGAGCCTGTTCACTTTCATTCCTAAATCATCAAAGTAAAATGACTAGTATTTAATACGATACATAATACCCAAATACCTATTTCTATTTCCCTTTTTTTTTTGTTTCACTCAACGTTATGATACCCATGTTGAACTCCTCTAACCTGTTAAAAACTTCATTTAATTTAGTGCTTAAACCTTCAAAATTCCAGCATCCCTAGTTCATAGACCATTTCCCTAGGCTCATCATGAGTTAATCTAAGGCTCATTTCCATTGAGAGTTGCGAGCTTTTTTTTTTTATATTTTTTCTAGTAGGGGGGGGCAAGCCTCTGCCACAAGCCCCTTCAAGACAAGATAATTTTACTTTTAGTCCCCCCCCAGATTGAGTGTCTTCAAGGATTCCAGGGTTCAATCTATTCCTATTTGAAGTACTTCTGCTTCTGAACAGGAAAAGAGGAATGGAAAGGAAACAGCTAAGAATAGGTAATGGAAGCCTTCAAGCTACTCAATCCATCAATTGGTTCCCAGGGTTCAGAAAAGGATTTTAGGCAAGAAGGATATCTTACAGGCAAGGACAATTTTGAGTCACTCCTTTGTAATTTGTAGGAGAAACCAGGCTAATTGCTGCATTCCCCACCCACTGGTAAGGGCTTGCAGGGCAATGGGGTTTCTGTATCCTTAAGCTTTCTCAATGTTCAGAAAACTGGAAAAATCTGTAATTCTACTCTTTCACAATAACTTACTGAAGGGAAAGCAAAAGTGGAAAGACAATATTTTGGGGTTCAACTGTAACTTAGAAAAGAAGTAGTACATACCTATTTCATTCTTCATTAATCTGTAATAAACATCCCATACTGTTGATAGACTTTTTCCAGAATCAAGATAAATAGCACCAGCTACAGACTCAAACAAATCACCAAGAACTTTAGGCACATCAACTGATTCTCCAATAAAACCTGGAACTTCATCTATAAGAAGTAAAACCTGAGAGAAGAAACACCAACAATGAATTACACAAAAATAACAGCTGAAAACAAAGAACATTTTACACAAAAATAAAAAAGTCAATAAATGAATCGCATAATTTATAATGAAGCTAAAAAAAAAAAATAATCAAATACTGAATTTGGAAGAACCGACTTTACTAGCTGACAATTATTTTTTAAATCAAAGACGACTTACAGTGTTAATAAATACCTTAATGTCTAATCTTTGAAATGCCTAACTCCTTAGAAATGAACACTCCCAGGACATCACAGAATGTTAATTGAAAATATAAATGAAATCCTTTGATATTAAAGAAATGAACTTGATTTATAATGTTTTTATTTTATATTTGTCGACTAATTTTCTTAATAAGTATATGTTGTCACTGACCAACAATTTTGATTTATAATGCCAAATGTAAAACATAAGTAGGCACTATTTAATGTAACTATTCTAATTATGATTATTTATTTATAATGTAAAATGTAACATATTTATAACACATATCTTAATTAAAATATCGAATAATTTAATTTTTGTCATTATTTTATTATTATTATTTGCTAAAAGGTTAAACATGATGTAATGCAGTAGAGCAAAATTAGTATTCGTTCTGCTTGTTTTGTTGTTTTTATGGTGATTGTTTTTGTTGTTCTAATTTCTTTTATGTAAATAGTAACATCTAATGTATACTAACAATGTAATTTTTTGAAAATTAAAATTATTATTATTGTCGNNATAATAATAATAATAATAATAATAATAATAATAATAATATTGTCATTATTATAAAAAATCTGAAAAGACTGGCTGTGTAGGGGTCAAGATCAATGACAAAATGCCTTATTGTCCTTTTCCCTCAAATAATTTCGTATAGGGTGTCAATTTGTGGGCTTGGTGGTACAAGGGTTCATGTATCAAGCTGTTGTACCCAAGTTTGCGGGTTCAAAATCAATTGAAGCCGTGAATTTTTAGAGGCAAAAATATTCTTTGAACGCCTTTCAGAGGGGAAGTAAAACGGGCTGCCCCATGTAGTCCTCAAGCCTAAAGGAAGCCTCTGAGCTAAATTCAAAATTGTCTGTTTTGTTGCCAAAGATGATACCTTCTTTCTCTGCTATTAGGGAAAGAAGTGTAGTGAAATTTGCGGTGGTCAGACAGAAGAGTGGACCTGATAGTCCAAGCTTTGTCACATAAAATAAGACATTAACTAACTAAATTCATTTGTCTACTTCCTTGAATGAGCTACCAGATACAACTTTTTGAGAAGAAAAATTCTTCTTCCATTTTCTCCTAAAATGAAACCCTCTTGATATACAGGTATGATTCTCTTGCAGGTCAATGGTAATCATTGCTCATACTTTGCACTAAAAACTTGGTATCTGAATGTATCCATGTTCACATTTTCAGAAATTTTATTCATTGTGTTTGCATCTAAATGCGTTTAACAACTTTCTGTTCAAATGGCTCCTGAATTGTGAAAGGCCTGTGAATCATCCTACCAACACTGCAACAGTGAAGTTCAGTGAGCAACGGAAGGACGCATCGACATATACACTTGGAACAGTGTCAACCTTAGCATTTCACCTTCATACAACACTCAAGAAATAACATAATTGCTCTAGAAGAGAGTAGTATTCCAAACTTAAGAAAGTATCATTCCAAGTGGCCTTTGCTGGTACAAGGCATTTTGCACTTCTCAATTTACATTTAGATGTGTGTTCTGAAATTTGATAAGTATCTGATTAGTGAATTCATTCATGTTTACATTGGTAAAGATAAATTTCAGACTTACATGTACATTCAGACTTAAATGTACATTCTGAATTCATAAATGCCGTTGTGCAGTGAAGCAACTACTGTTAATATGCAATGAATCAAATAATAATTCAGGTAAGATTACTGGAATTATTCTCCATTTATAATTACAGATGCTTTGTGACTTTTAGTTTAGAAAGTCGCATGAGCTAGAGCCCAAATTATTCACATTTTGTAATAGTAGGTCATTTACCTGCATGTACACATGAACCCCATTTATTACATTAATAAATGTGTTAGGCAAAGAGTTTGAATTGCTTTATTGAACATGTAATACTGCCTCCATTCACTCAGCAAAGGAATAAGTCAATAAAAATGAAAATTTGTGAATGGACGAAATTCAAGTGCAGCCTCATATCATGCACAGGCCTCTGATCATGCCCAACCTGCCAGTCAACCGGCAGAATTGCAGTGCATTTTCGGTACACAAATAACCTGAGTCCACAACAGCAACAGCACTTGAGTAAGTAAAGCGCACAAGTTTTAAGGAATATATTTATGTCTGTTATCTTGTGAATATAATTGTAATGGTTTCCCGATAACAAAAACAGACACAAAAACTATATTTTTTTATCATTTTTACCCTAGTTGGACTCCTTTTTAAAATCTAAAAAAACAAAAGATGATGTTACACCCAAATGATCAAGATTAAATCGATAAAATTGTAAAACATCCTAAATAACAAAGCAATGTATTAGAAGACATTGAACCATAATAATAAAACAAATTGCGACATACCTAATCCCATTGTACCTAATTTGTGACATTGTCCCATTGTACATAATTTAGTATTAGTTCTTAATAAGGTCAAAAAACCATTACAATTAAAAATATGTGCAAGATTCTGTCAAAAACAGGTTGCAATAAAATTAGAAAATTACAAAAATAACTTTCTATGGGAATCTATCTTTGAGTAAAAAATGATAAAGGAATAATTCATTGGAAATATTATGAGGAACACTCTGGTGTGTTTTTCTTTCTGAATTGACTCATCTTGTAAGTGTAAATATATAAAAAGTACTTACATCTTCATTGATTCTATGACCATGTTTCTCTTGAAAATTGACAAAGGCATCAATTTTTTCAAACAACTTTGGAGAATCATAGCGACAAAATTGATGAAAACCATATCGAACAGCTAATGAACCAAATGTTATGTTATTGACTAAAGCTGAACGAAGATCTGTCAAATCTCCAGGTGATAAACCTCCACAGTGCTCATAAATGTGGCATGTGACAAGAAAATCTGTGAAGTAAAACATAATTAAAACTTAGTAATACAAAATTGGGGATTCTACAAGGGTTGAGGCACAAGTCATGGGTCAAATATAATTTTTTTCTTAGAATTCTTTTCTTTTCTGTATGAAGACAGATTGGTAATAGTTTGATGCAGGTTTGCACACAGGCCTATGTTTCTGTGGAAAGTGCTTATAATATTGTAAAAGCACCATTGTATTACATTAAACTACCAGAGTAAATTGTATTGAATAGAATGGTGATACCGGAAATGTTCATATTTCATAGAAAGCACGACACACATGGTCACATTTCTTGGTGGTGGTATGTTTTACAGTTCTCGTGCACAGAGTAAACACAGTGTCATGATAAGTGAAATAGACTCCAGAATGGTCACAGCAAGAACTGCATGCTTATCCTAAGTGCCAGTCTTCAAGCAAGAAATGCAAGAGAATGTCGTGTGGATCTTGTGGAAACCGCAAGGGAATAATGATTTCATTACCAAACTATTACGAGACGGGCAGCAGCATTTCAACAAAAATCAACATGACACATAGCCGAACAGTGACAGCTAAGTACTACAGAACCTTGCTGCTAAGAGAATTACATCTTGTCACAAGGAAAAAAATGCTCAGATTTTATCAACAATGCCATTATTTTCCACATTTCCAAATCGATTACAGCATATGGAGGAAATCCCTAACACAAATGAGGAAGTAATGGAACACATACTTACTGGTTACCTACATGTGATTTTGGCCTAATGCAGAAAATCTAAGCACCATTGCATGCAAATTGGAACATGGCAGGACACTACTAATGCTATGAACCAAGAGATTAGAAAATTCTCATGGCGAGGCGTATGGTATCCAACACCTTTCACACAATTGGCAACGTATTGTATGCTCCCTAGAGTGCTAATTTGTGGGGTTCATTTTAATGAATTATGAATTGCTTAATTAATATATCTCACTACAACTAATATTGCCTACTCCAATCTATACATTCACATTTTTCTTGTAGATACAGTGTTAAAAAACAACAACAACAACAACCCTACCCTTGTGTTTTCTATGAGGATGAGGATAACACTTATTAGTGTGCAAAAATTAAGGATGAAGAGGAAACAGAAAATAAAACTTTATATCCACAAACAATTTATGACACACATTCAAATATATATGAATGAGTACATAAATTGTAATGGAAGGGAAGGAAAGAGGGAGAAAAAAAAAAGCAGAAAGAGGGTGGAGAGGGAGAGAAAGCAGTTTAGAGTCTGGAAATTAAAATCTAATCTCAATACAATGTTTATTTATGGGACTAAATATTCTAAACATGGTAAGAACTAATAGTGTCAGAGAATGGCACAGACTTTCTCGTAAAATTTTCTAATTTCTTTGGTGGGGGCTAGCTTTACGGTCTTGCCCCCATCCTCTTGGGGGCTGCCAATTATCGCCATCCTCAAGACATTTTTTTGAAACTAATTATGGACATCGAATTTCATTTGAAGGAAAAATCCCTATCTTCAATTTGGTATTCGTAGGAAGATGCCGAAAAAAGTTCAAACATTTGCAATTTTCGAAAATTCAGAGTTAACCCTGAAAATTGGACCTATGCCACCTATTAAGAGATTAAATTTTTAAGTGTAATTCACTCTATTCTTACAATACATTTAAAGAAAAAAGTTTTGAGCAGTTTTTGAAAAAAAATTGAAAATGTTTCAAGAGCTTAATGTAAAGTAAAAAAATACCTGCAACTTTTAAAGAATTGTTTTTCAGAATCTCAAAGCTACGATTCAAGCCAGATGGGCAGGGGTATCTTTAATTAGAAAAAAATCTAATGCATGGTTTAGCCACTAGTGGTGGTGTTCTCTGACGGACAGTTTGGAAAAAGAAAAAAAAAGAAAGAAAGAAAAAAAAAAAACACACACACCCACACACACGCCAGCCCACCCACACAACAACAACACTCTTTCGGTATCAGGGGACCCCAAAACATGTATTTCTGTTGAAATCTCAAAATTGATTTTCCGCAGTATTTCATAATTTGCTCTACACTACGTATATATGTATGTATACAAGAAAGTAAAACTTGTTACTGAAAAATGCTCAATTTGTCATTTTCACATTTCCTTCTTTGAAATACTATCACTATAATAGGGAAACAAACATGCAGGATAAACTAATTTAAATGGAAATAAAAAACAAATAAAAATTACATTACAAATAATACACAAACACTAAAAATAATGCAATTTGAATAAAAAATGCACAAACAACTTATCAAACACAAACATACAATAATCTACCAAATTCAAAGAATGAAGTAACATTACAGAACATAAGTAAGAACACAAAGATCAAAGACTGCAGAGGCATAGAAATATGTGTTTCTGTGGTTCTGGGATCATAAACAAGAAGTCTGAAAATACCCCGAGTCTGAGAGGACCCTTCTACATACTCCGATACCTCAAGTACCATGGGAACAACACACAATGAAGAACGTGCTGCCAGACTGGAATTAAATTGCTTTAATAATGGTTAAATATCAAAACTTCAGTAAGCTACGTGGAATTGCAAAACTAGTAATTTAACAGAATTGACCAAGACTTAAACACCGGATGAACTACTTGGAAACGTGGGGTAATGGAGAACGTGCTAACAAAATTCCACTTTATAACCATAAATACAGCTATTAAGTGGATGATAATCTTTCTGATTAAAATTACACGAGGAATAGTTGATTCCTTGTTTTTGCTTTATCTTACATCTTTCTATGTCCCACAGTACTGTACATCACCTAACATGACCATTCACTATGCACAGCAGCAAAACTCTGACATTTAAGTCACCTACCGACGCTTTGGCCAGAAGTGTTGATGGAGTTGACACTTTTGATCATTATAGATAGTTTTACAAACTCAAAATAAAACTTCTAAAAAAGTTTGAGATCTATATAAAAACCACACCATTACAATGTTTATTTTATGTCATGATTTTGTAATCTTTAATGGGTTTATGCCTGCTGGATTTATGTACCTTTAAATAAAATAAAATCTTAATAATTCATATTTGGGTCCTTTTTACTACTACCTTACTACTTATCTCAAGTTTTTAGGAATGCATACATTTTGATTTTCTGTTTCTTATTATGATTAATAATATAAAACAAATTTTCATCTGCCCACTTAATAATGTTTCCATAATTACATTATAAGAGATGATCCAGAATAGCTCGTACCCCTAGTACCAGTCAAAACTTCTACACAGATAATGCACTGAAAGCCTGTAGTACATGAATAAAAAAGGAAAAATAATGCTGTGCACGACTGATATAAGAGGTTTCAAATCATGAAAACAAAATCCTTCATATCCCCTAAAATTTTTAAATTGAATATTGGAAAAACAGTAACCTGTATTCAGAGGATAATCAATAGACAGGAAACATTGTACATACTCTACAATTTACAAACAAGTCTTGATTTTCTGGAGGAAGATTATTTAGAATAAAAACTAGTAGAGCTACAACAGCACACACATTCTTGCATTATTTTTAACGTTTGCAATTTCAAAAATCCGAAGTTCAATGAAAGTGAGAGCTGTGCCATTTTATTTAGTGTCCTTTGCTCTATCTGTGGAACAAAATTAAATTAAAACTTCGAAGACATTTTTGTTTTTTTAAAACAATTTGCATTCAATTCAAATATAAATTATGTAAAATATTAATATTAATTTTTACAATAATAATAATTAAAATAATAACAACAACCTATACAAATTAATAGAGGTAGACATTGTACCCAATGTTATTTCAACTAATAGACTTGTTGCTGAAGATTGGAGTATTGTGAAAGAGGAACTCTATTTAAATGAATGGCACTTCAGAACAATGCAGAAGGCAGAGTTGCAGGCAACCACCAATATTGTGCATAAGGTTCTCTGTCTTAGTCATCAGCGAGGAACCTGAGTGCACTGGAGCAAGAACTTCTCACCATACGTGTTGACGTTCTTTCCTTGAGTTATATCTGGAAACTCCAGACGAGCGTGAAATTTTGAAATATGATATAACAATGATGATAATAATAATAAAAAAAACACTTGTTTTTTCAAAACTATGTACATAACCTTTTTAAAGATCTAATTTCTTACAACAATTTTATTTAAGAAAAAATCTGTTTCGTTCATATCGTACTTTTGAAATGTAAAACGGTTGCAATTTTTGAAAATACAGTTTGTCAAAAATGGACCATCACATTTTTTATCAACTTTTGCTATATACATGGAAAGCATACCCTTTCTCCAACTCCTCCAAAGAACTAGCTTTTCAAAAAATGTGAAAATGCTTCAAGTTTATTTGAAGGGAATGGTTGGGAAAAAGGAATGGGCAAAACAACTAATACCCAACAATGTATTTTGATTCTTACAATGGATAAACTGATAACTTATTCATGCATATTTAATTACTTACCAAGTATAGCATCACCAAGAAATTCAAGGCGCTGGTAACAATCTGTCAGTCTATTCTGACTGTAAGAAGCATGACTCAATGCTTGCAATAAATATCCCCTGTCTTTAAACACATAATTGATACGCTTCTCTAGTTTCTCTACCTCAGACTCAAGTAGCAGGTAATTCAGTTTTTCTTCATGGTTATTTTCGTGAGAAACATAAGGAGAGCAAATTGATGATGATCCCAGTAGGTATTTGGGATCAGCAAGATCAGGAGGCAAAATACCCAACCAGCAAACTAATTTTAAGGCACCTTCAATTCCATATCCCTACAAAAAGAAGAAAAAGACAAGAGTTTTTTTGGGAGTTTTTAAATTATTCTCAAATTTTGATGAGCATTATATTGTAATTACATCAGTAAATTTTTTTCTAAAAATTCAGAGGATAAACCAGTTGCTTTGGAAAGAAGTATATGTTATACTGCGACATGATACACTTTCTGAACTAAAGTTTGCACACACAAAATTTTATGGCCTTGTCACCTTCCAAAGCAACTTTGAAGCATTGAGAGCCTTGATTAATAATAATAATAATAATAATAATAATGTCTTTATTAATGGCGAGGCTCAGGCCATTGGGCCTGCTCTTCCGCCTAACCACTGAATTTACATACATTTAGAGTAGTAACATTTGAAGAGGGGAGAACAAGCTGTACATTTATGTCTGGGAGAACAAACCTAGGGACCATCCCGGCATACGCCTTAAGCGATTGAGTTAACCCAGAAAAACCTCAATCAGGATGGCGGCTTAGGGCCGATTCATGTGTTACTACTCAGTAAAACTTCACTTATAGGTTTTTTCAAGGAGACTGAAGGGGGAAAAAACGTGAAAGTGAGAAAAGCTCATAAATGAAATTGAATATTATAAACAAAACAAAAACTCAATATTTTAACTTTGGCAAGTGTCACTCTTAGCCTGCTTGCAAGAACTGCTACCAATGTTACTTCTCATTTATATGATTTTATTTATTTAGTCAAAGAACAGTAAAAACTTTATGTGACGTAAAGGGGAGACGTACCATCTGGGCACATTTTCTTGAGCTCTTCTCAACATTTTAACTATAAATGGTTGAATGATAAATAAAAACTTCCAAACTAGCAGTTAGCAACTTATGAAAAATAAACATTTTTGCTCTCTAGTTATAGAAAACTTATTTTCTTTGGTAAACAACAAATATATTTTATTATATTTTTTGTATTGCTAACAAAATACTAGCACATCCCTGGCTCTGCTCCTACCACTACTAGCAAAATGGGAACTAAACAAACTAGCGCATTGTGAAGCTGCATTTATACCTAGAAGCAAAAGAAGTCCATCCTAGCATTTGTTCAATGGATCAGGGTCTCTGGACAAAAACGTGATCAAGACCGTAATCTACATTACTTGTTACAGACAAGCGAGCCCGGAATAGGCACGCCCAAAGGAAAAGCACTGATATTTGTACTTTAAGCAGTCGATATTTGAGGTCTGTGCCACACAAGGTTGCATTGATGCTCATCGCCTGACGCAGATGACACCATGCCTGCGCACACAAGTCCCTTAATGTGCGCCGTAAATTAACACTTTTATGCGAAACCACGCATGAGCATGCGTTGTGCCAAGGTCAAGCAAAATGCTCAAGTTATGGAGTAAGTTGCCAATTTTTCTCAACGTGCAATGTTGGTGAACATAATGCAAAGTTGCCCCCCCCCCCGCTCAAGAGCTAGTTTTTCCAGCCTGTGGTTGTCAAAAATTCCAAAACGGATGATTGAAACCCGCTGAAATGCCCTGTGTAGTGACAAAATTTAACCTGAATACTGAATTCAACGCAAAAATTCCATGGGCTCTTGTACAATAATGTAAACGTTTTCACTTATTGGTCATCTATGTCATTATCACTTAGACCTTATATTCTTCAAGGGATATTCATTATGAATGTATAAGCATGAAAAATGTATAAATGTGAAACGCATAATAACGTGGGAAGTATAAGAATTTATTCAGGACTTACAGAAAACAAAATTAAACGTGAAAAGTGCAAAATGTAAAGAGTTTCATGGTCACATCAGTAATGTTCAATAATACTTCATATCTGAGGATGAAATAAAAATTATAGTACTCAACTGTTTAACTTGAATGTAGTGTTAGTTACATGTGTTATTAGCAATGGATTAGGTGGGTCATTAATGAGCTGCTAGTTGAAACAGAAGCGCAGATTTTTCCACTGACGTTTATACCATGTATTTCCACCATTGCTTACACTACACAATGTAACTAAGTCACTTTCTCCAAAACATCAGTAAAAAATTCAAGATAAAGGAGCATTAATCAAAAATTCATTTAATTATTTTCAAAACCCATAGCATTACATTTTTTACTGTTGAAAATAATGAGAAAAGTATGATAGCAATTTTTGACACCTCCACCCATAAGACATATCAAATATGCCTCTTAGATCAACACACACCGGATCGCAAAATCTCAGCAATGATTTTTATACATTTTCACAATTTATTTTACTTACTACAATGCCAATCGTTTGAAATTTTCTCTTTACCTGCTTTTTCAAAACTATTGATCTAAATTACCCAGCAAATTCATGGAGGATATCAATAATGTGTCTGAAAATATAATTAGGAGTTATAGATACACTTGACATTTATTGCTTTAGCAGCTTACAGTTTTATCTACATTTGAGTTTCTTCATGTGAAAAGGCAGAGCAAAAACAAATTCTAAATAGCTAGTATTAATATGCAAATGTAAGACGATCCTGTATTTTTCAAACCAGGTATGTAGAGGAAAAAAAACTAGTCTCATATTAGGGTTCTACTCCACCAATATTATCTCGTATTTGTGTAAATACAGTACATGGGTCTTCATATTGATGACTTGTATTGGAAAAACCCCTTCCTACTCCACCAATATTGCACGAAATCTCTTTTACATTCAATGTTGTGATCTGTCAATCAGGTCTGGGCTGTGACCCGGATGTTTAGGTGTAATTGGTCTGATACATCATGTGGCCAGCACCAAAACACAACTGCATAGCAACCTTAGGGTTAACTATTGAGTATCAACAGTATCATTTAAATCGAAAGTGCAAATATGATTTTATGTAAAAGCTTCACCGCAGTGTAAAATACAACTTGGATTTAAAAAGACAGTTAAGTATTGATATTGGTCATCAGTCAATATAAATCAAGAGGTACCTGAACTTTTTGAGCTTTGGTGAAGATATCAAATTTTAAGAAACTAGTCTCACAAGACTGGTTATTGTTAGTTACATCCTTTATAAAAGCATTTATGATGCTACAAATAAGAAAGCTGTAAGAAACCAATAGTGGAGATATGATCACGGGGAGAAGGAAACCAGTAAAAGAAAGGAGTAGTAACAAGTAAAAGAAGGACTCCAGGAGAATAGTATTGATGATTCACAAAAGGAAGAACAGATTCAGTCAGAAATAACAGCAAAGAGCTAGATGAAGCTACAGTGCAGCAAGAATACTGATATCTTACCAAAAAAGTAGACACTTGGAAAGGAAATATGAATGAAACTAACCTGCAGATAAGCACCAATCAATGCCTCCACACAGTCTGCTACCATTTTATCAGGAACAGACTGAATACCAATTAGACTTTCTGTAGGAGAAGGAGTGTATTTTCTGTCAGATGTATTTATGACTTCTTGCCATTTATTTTGAGAAGCAGAAGACAAAACCCCACTTTCTTGCTCTTCTCTTGTAAAAGAGATCTCAAACAGTATAGATGGGCACAGTTCCTGATCCAAAAGACTCTGAACTATTTCTTTTGGTATACAATATCTTGGAGGTATCCAATCAGCTCTTGGGTTGAATTCATGAACCTCAAAACAAGCACAATAAACAAATAAATAAATAAATAAGCAAGAAATCGCTCTTTATGAATTATGAAGAATGAATCATCCTGCATGTTGTTGTTGGTATTATTATTATTATTATTATTATTATTATTATTATTATTATTATTATTATTATACAACATTGTTTTTCTTGGTATTCATCAGGTTTTTTGACTGAAGGTCAGGTTAATAACTAAGACACATGTCAATTCTGCACGACAGATTTTTGCCTCATTTTGAATGTATATTTTGGCTGTTGTTTGGTGTGTTATGATGAATGGTTTTATCTGTGATAATTTCTTGATCATAGTACAACTTGTAGTTTCAAATTTTCAAGTATTAGGAACATATTTGTAAAATGGACAGGTCATTTCTTGTAGATTGGATTTTGCTGCCAGTTTCTGATGAATAATGTTTACAACTTGATTGTGCCTATAGGTGTAATATGTGTGGGCAATTAATTTGCATCCTGATGACGATGATGATTATTCTTCTTATTATTATTATAGACAAAAGAAAGAGAGAGAGACACAAGAGAGAGACAGAGAGAAAGAGCAGGAGAGGGTGCGAAATAAGAGAGTGAGGAACGAGTGGGAGAGAGCAAGAGTAAGAAATATTTACTATTGAAATTATTAAATAATGAAATTCACAAAGATAAAACTATATATTGCGTACACATGTACAACTCATAATACACCAAAAACTAAAGTTAACTATTGTTTTTTTTTACCTTCATCTTCCCAACAAGTCCTCGATTTCTTCCACAGTAAAATAGATTACGATTACCCACAATTTTTCCTTTGACTTGAGTTAGTTTGCCCTCATCAAGTTTAGGGTATCGCAGAAAAAGGAAAAGAGACGAAGCAAATTTTAAAAATGAATCTCCAAGTGTCTCCAGTCGTTCCAGATTTAAAGCATCGTTAGAACATGCACAAGTCAAAGCCTAGAACAAAAGAACATCAGTTGTAACGTGAAAATAAAAATGTGTAGCATAGTAAAACTAAAGGTATGCAAGAAAATTTGATAAATAAATAAAATATGAAGGTTTATAAATAAAACGTTATTCATTACTTCATTAATTAATGTGACTCAATCCAGTGCTCACTTATTCCATGCATTCATCAACATACTGAGTAGCTTTATGTGAAACTCTTTTCCTCGCAATCAACAGATCCAGAGTAAGTATTACTTTCCATCTGACTCTGACATATCTTAACCGTGAATATGTACACAATCCATCAGTTATTCATGACCAATATCATTCCTCCAGCTTCCTTCTTGCAGGTACTACAACCTTCCAAATATTCAGTGGAACAAGTTACTTCATGGAGCCTGTACATCTAAAACTTTCTTTAGTAGGCTATTAGGTAACTAAATTTTAACCAACACAACACGATATATAATCATCACAGTTCACTACTTTATCTTATATTTTCTGATTTTGATTACTTGATATTTAAATCTATCGTTCCATTTTTACTGCACGAAAGGTACCATCCTGCTCTTTATTTTAAAGCTGCTTCAATGATCAAGAAATATCCTTTCTGGCCACAGAGTGCAGTTTGGTCTATTATTGCACAAACTATATTGTAGATGGTGCCCTCCTATTCTGTATTCCTCCATACCACAAGTTGCAAACAGCAATTACTGTGGATAAACCTTAAGCAATGATTAAGATGAATTGCACATTTTCCATTTTTATTATAATAACTTTGTTCCATAGTCATCATCAATCATTTGTCACCGTCTTCAGGAAACTGACCCTGCGAGAATCTACAGAATTCTCATCCTCAACTTGCGATTGAAATTTATTTTTCAAAATGGGTAAGTGTCTTGGTCTTTGAGGAGATGCTGAAGATTCTCATTAAAATTATTACAGAACACTAAAGTCATTTTTTTCTTTTCCTCTTACTTCTTAAGACATTTGAGAGAACATTTGGGTAACATTTGTGAGAGCATGTGAGGAAATAAGTGGAGAACATGACAGATGTTAGCCGAGGTATGAGTACATTCTCTTCTGGTGACACTCCTTTAAAGGGTGCACAGACATGAGCAGTAACCTTAAATCTATATAAAATTAAATTGATGTGTTGATGAGCCACATCATAACAGGCCTAAAATGCTTCTATGTACAGATAAGGTTCTGACCTGAAGTTGGGACTTGGTGTGAAGGTATTTTCATTTTTAAAACAATGATTTACAAAGTGCAGAATGTTGGCGTGTGTCCAGCAACGTGTTCACTAATCTGATAAACTCTGAGCCAAGAAGTGTTAAGTAATTTTTATTATTTAACATAAATAATATTGTACCTGTACCAAGAAAATATAGAGGAAAATAATCAAACCAAGCTTCAAAGTAACAAAATCTACAAACAAATATTATTTTTTCTTATTCAGAAACTACAAAACAATCAGAAACTGCAACAAGGACAATGAAAATTAAAACAAACCTGTAAAATCTTTGAGAGCTGAACCCCATGATTTTCTTGCAGTAGGGTAATTGTTGGTGTTACAATTTCTTCTGGACTTGGTACTTCAATTTTCATTATTTCACTGACATCTAATGAAGAATCATCAATAGGTACTGCAGGTTTATTTATGAATTCATCATAATAGAGTATCTGCAAATGATGGATGAAATAAATATCAAATAAAAAAATAGAAATAAAATAATGAGATAATCAAAATACAGACAATAGTGAAATCTAACTAAACCAGTTACTAAAATTCAGATAAAAATTGTCGGTTAATGTGTGCATGAAGACTATGCAAACATGGAAAGCAGATATGTGGTATTTCCAATCAATTCAAGAATTCTTCACTTGTTAACACCTTTCTAAATATACTTAACCAATTAAAAAAGAAATGTGCCTAGCTGCCATCTATAGTACTGCACAAAAGTGGGAATATTCACAAATGGTTTATGGCAGTTTCATTCAATCGAATGAAAAAAACAGCCCTTAATAGAAGCGATTGCTTATTGGCTGTTTCAGCACAATTTTCTGTAATTTCTTTCCTTTTTTGTAATCAATTAACTGATATAATGCTTTTCTTACATCAATTAAGTATTTTAGAATTGTTATGAACTCTAAACTTCACTATTTTCTTTATTAATATTTGCTTACATCCATGAGTGTAACATCTTCCACTCTCTCACGATCAATATCCACTGGCTCTCCCTCCCCACCCCAAAGACTTGTCTTTGTGCTGAGGATTCCTGCATTTCCTTTAGCACCTGAACGACTGACAGAACGTTTCGGCTTATCTTCATCTTCAGATAGACAAACAGGATCAATCGGAAAGAGATCTAATTTCTCTCCTAGAACAAAAAGTTAGATTATTTATGATATCAATTATTAATAAACAATAGTAATTCAAATCAGTGATATATGTAACATGTTTAGTGACACACTCCTTGAGGAGTAGTCTTGAAAAAAATTTTTGGCTCTCTTCCTTTAAGTACCCCGTATAAGCCTTGAATGTCAATAACTTTATACAGATTAAGTCGAATCATTCAAATGACAGGTTTAAGTGCAATATTCTGAGGAACTTTCTCATGTAATGGAACATTGCCCACAGACCTATGCCATGAGCCCCTCTTCTAGCTACTGTCTCAATTCTTTGAAATTAATTTTCTTATAATACATCAGAAATCAAATTTAATTTATTTCACCTGCATGAGGCTGAAAATTAAGATCTTCAGCAATTTCTTGTCGCAGTTCTTCAGCTAGAAGTAGATGTGTTATTCTGTGCAGGCAGGATGGCAAGCACACAGCTTTTATCCATAGACTGCTAGGGAAGTCAATGGGTATACACAATTCTGGCACTAAATGTTCCTCAAAGTCATCGTTGGCTTCTTTTCGCTTGCTCCTTCCTGACATATTACCTGACCTGCATTACACAACAAATCAGTTAACAGAACAATTGAAGCAATGGATAAAATGAGACCAGATGGCACTTTCTCTATTACAGTAAAACTTCACATACACATTTTTCAGGGGACTGAAGTGAAAAAATGTATAAATGAGAAAATCACATATCTAAATTTGAATATTATAAGCAAAATAAAAACTCAATATTTTGACATCAGCACACTCTTGGACCTGCTCACGTGAAATGCTTCCAACATCACTTTGAAGACACATGGGCTTTGAAAGCATGAACAGCATGGAAATGGGATAGCACTAATATTCACACTTTACGCAGAATGTCCATTAATGTTATTATAAATATTAGATTCCCTCATATTTCCATATTTCATGTAAATACCACGAATTTTTATCATGCAATGTTGGTGAACATTATGCAAAGCCACAATAAATGACACTGGATCTCCTATCCTTTCATCCAGTAGTTTAGTCCAAAATTCCAAAACATGTGAAGCTTAGTCCAAAAAGAGTGTTGAAGCCAGTACAAATGCCCTGCTTACCAACCAAATTAACAACCTCAACATTAAATTCCACACAAATGCCTTGAGCTCCTCAACAATAACGTCATCAATCTCACTTATAGGTCACCTTTGTCATTATCATTTGGACGTTATGGTCCCAAAGGGACTTCTATTTACAAAGTATAAGCGTGAAAAACATAGAAACATAAAAAGCATAACTGAAATAATTTAAGATGGGAAGTATAGGAATTTATCAGGCACTTACAAAAATAATGTATAAAAATGTATAAGTGCAAAACATAAACAGCGGCGGCGGCGGCGTCCCACAGAAAAGGTGACTGATGTGAAATAAAATACAAGAAGTTGGTTGTTATTAGTGTATATGCTTTTTTATTCACAATAGTCTTCTTGTGAGTCAATACACAACTGGAAGCATTGGAAAAATTGTTCAAAAGAATTCTGATAGTCAACAATTGGAATTGCCTGCAGGATCGTTGTCGTAGCCTTCTGGGTATCGGAAATCGTGTCAAAACGTCGTCCTGTCATGGCCATTTTCAATTTGGGAAATAGCCAGAAGTCTCACGGAGCTAAATCCGGCGAATAAGGAGGATGGTCAAGCGCAACAATACCTTTTTCAGCCAAGAATTGGCGAACAATCTTGCTTTTGTGCGCTGGAACATTGTCGTGCAACAAACACCAAGTTTCTTGGTTGGGGTATTCAGGCCTCAACCGAACAATCCTCGACCATAAAGGAGTTAGAACACCCTAGAAGTAATGTGCGTTCACCATTTGACCTTCTGGAGCAAATTCTTTATGGATAATTCCTTTGGAATCAAATAAAACTGTGAGCAGTGTCTTGACACGACTTTTCTGCATTCGCACTTTTTTCGGTATCGGCGTTTCTGGACCTTTCCATTTTGAGCTCTGGCGCTTTGTAAGTGGCTCATATTGAAAACTCCATGTTTCATCACCGGTTACGATGCATGCCAGGAAGTCTGCGTCCTCATCGGCCGATCGTTTCATGTCTGCAGTGTTCCACTCTGCAATGCTTTTGGTCGTCCACGAGTAAGTGGGGCACAAAGTGACAACAGATCTTCTTTTTGCCCAGATTTTCAGTCAATATGCGATGCACAGTTGCTTTAGGAATTCCAGTGATCTCCCCGATTAACCTGGTAGATGCACAACGATAATTTCGAAGAATTTCAGCCACTTTTTGAACATTTTTTTCTACTCGAACTGTCGCTGATGTTCCTGGACGTGGATCGTCTTCAATGATTTCTCTTCCATCACGAAATCTTGCATACCACTTAAAAACGTTTTTACGACTCATTGCTTCACTACCATAAACGCGTTGTATCATTTCAAAAGTTTCTGTGGCACTTTTACCCACTTTGAAACAAAACTTAATGTTCGTACGTTGCTCCAGTGCTCTTTTCACGACCGAGGGTCAGAACATACCGTTGCAGTTTTATTTACTGCAAGCAGTGTGTGATGCCAGCGTTGTTCCTTTTAAAACGGAAGGTAGTCGAAACACAACACTTCTTAATTCCTGCATCAGATCACAGATTGCACGATTGGTTCCGCGAATATAAAATCAGTTACCTTTTCTGTGGGACGGACTGTGTATACACACAATACAGCATTGCCCCAACCAGAGCAAGCTTTAAGCTCCTAATTTATCTTCAAACGTGTGGTAGGGTTGAGTGTGTAAGTGAGAATGTATGTGAGTAAGGAAAGATTACGTGGAGTCTGTGGCCGGTTTCTTATGATACTGCTCCAGCATTCAATTGTTACTGGTCATAAAAAACAGAAAACCACTGGTCAGTGCAGACAGCTACTAGAATTCTCCTCCAGGCAAAGGTTAAACTCAACTTAACTTAACTACATGCTAGTGTCAAAAATTCTGCCACTGTCACAACTATAAACCCTACGGTCACAGACAGCTATAATGCTGGCTCTGAGCTAAGCCAGCAAGTGCACAAAAACTACTAATTAAAAAAAAAAAGTATATAAGAAATTACTTAAATATCTAATATCAACTTAATTAAGCAGGGAAGTTATCTACTTAGTAAAGCAGGGAACTGAAAACCATGCACAACTGTCAACCCAGAAATGGGGCAGCAAACCCTACTCTCTGTTCAGTCATGTAATAGACTTTTTTATGGCTATAGATGGGGGACTTGGTCAGTCATTTTTAGAGAAATACACACAAATTATACACTTCGATTTCACTAATGTTGCTATCTTTTCTTGGAGCCGTGAAACAACCTACTGTATTTTCATTTTGACAAAAGAGGAAGTTCAATGAATAATATTACATTATAGTGATAGAATGTTGTGAAAATATTCTGAAACTATGTTTAAGATAACTATTTTTTTTAAGTTAATATTTTTGGAGACCTCACTATAGAAATAAGAGGTTCAGCTAACAAGAACTGCTTCTCATCTTTCAGTTCAATGCCATAGGTTTTCAGCAGAAGAAAACTTATATTGGCAGAGCCCTTATGAAAAGAAATGGCATTTAATTTGCTAGATCCAATTTTGTGATGAAATAAAACAAACCAAGTGAAGAAAGTACGGAATTTCTATTTTTGGATGAGTAGTTATATTTGAAAGGCAAGAAAAATATACTAAATTATTTTTTTGGATGAAGGATACAATTTGAGTGCCAATTATCTTACTATCTAAAAAATCCTATTCGTTGATGGGAGAGCAGGATGGGGAGGGGAGATGAAACAATAGAAGATTGTCATTCAGTTCTGTGCCCCCCATCTACTATTATCACCATAATCCATCCCAGTTGGAACAAAGCCAATGCAAATGATATCAGAGTCATCATCACGGTATCACTTTTGATCACATAGCAATGATAAGGAAATGGAAGAACGCATTACAACAGATTACTCTAGAGAAGAAAGTAAAAATTAAAATATTGCCTTCAGATATGTTACTAATATAACATACTAATTTACTCTTAGCACTGCTATATTTGAAATTATTATGCAGCACTTGCTGAGAAGATTATTGTGGAGTAGAAGCAAGAAAGGATGCTTCAGAGATTGCAGTAATAATATTCAAATGACTGAAGACATCCCCTTGGATGTTCACATTCCATGACCTACAGATGTTTCTAACAAATAGTAATATTGTCAGCAAGATAAAGCTGAACCGGGTAGCAGAGATCACTAAGGCAATACTAATGTACTCAGATCAAAGGATCATGGGTTCGAATCCTGCCTTGGGCATAGTTGTGTGTTGTCTATGTGTAATGTGTTTGTATGTGTCCCCTCTGGTTGGCATCAGGAAGAGCATCCAGCCATAAAACATTGCCAAATCATGATAAAAATGTAGTGCAGAAAATCAATAAAAACTGGACGTGCCCCCATTAGTGCCAACCCTGTAGAAATAAGAAGAGGAGCTAGGTTGGGAAAAAGAAGACCAAAATAAAAAAATAGAAATAGAAAATTTTAAAAAGGTAAGCAAGATTCAGTGTTTAATGCAGTATACTTCATTTGATGAAAAATATTTGTCTACCTACAAGAGAAATCCACAATGTTTGCAATTTCTCACTATCCCTATCATATATTTCTTTGGTTAAAGTTGGAAACAATGATACATATTCCACTTGAGAGGCTGCTTCTATTGCGCTTTGCAGTGATGCCATTGCTGGGGTCACCAAGTGACTCAAACATCGAGTACAAACATTCTTATGTGGTATAAATGCTTCAGATGTAAAATAGTATTAGAAGAAACAAAAGAGTTTCATTCTCTCTGCAGGTAAATTAATGATGAATTTAGGAGGTACCTCAAACACAAACTTACCTGGGTTTCAAACAATTCAGGTGACTTGTGATAGCTTTAACTTCAAATAGTGGCTGGGAAGAATGATGTATAACAAGAGAATATTTGCCATGAAAATACTCTTCAAAAGTTGAAAATGCAGAAGTGGGGAAAGCACTTAATGGAGACAAATCTTCACACACTTGGGTGACCACATACACCTGCAATGAAGATAATTGTAATTCACATAACATTATACAAGATGCAACAAAATTCAAGATTTAACATTTATTTTAATGATATGTTTCCACACTTACATTATTAAGTTGACTAATTTTCTTTAAATTTAAAAAATTATAAATTACAGTATCATCTTGTCATTTTGTAGAATAATTACCTCCAATTTAAAACAGCGGGATCAGAAACTTGACTTCATGACAATCCATAGCATGATTATGGTGCATATTAGCACTGTTTTACAACCTTTCCATTTGTTTCTGACAATCCCATCTGATTCAATTGATAGCCAACAATGTGCAAGTCATTCCCTTTCATTCAACTTCACCCTTGATGCCAATTGTATCAGAAATTACAAACAAAAGTACTGTTACATACGTGTACAAACACTTGATGCTACTAGATAAATGAAACAAAATTCTCTCATAATTAGAGAAAGGGAAAGTGGAATTAGAGAGAGTTTTTATGAAAATCATTTGAATAGAGAAATCCTATGATAATAAAATATATTTTGAGTCAAGTTCAGCATGTTCATTCTTCTTTGCCATTTATATATTTTTTGTTTATTTATTTGTTGTATGTAATACTAAATTGTTCAAAAAATAAAATTGAAAATTGTATAAAAAGTTATGTATAATTAAACTATACCAAAACATTGTCATAATGGAGTGACCTGTGGTGCATCATTGGATAATATTTATACTATGGAATGTGCTGGAGAACAGAATAGCTTCAATTGTAGATTCAACCACAAGAACAACAGGGGTTTAGAAAAGATCGTTCAACAATAGATGACATATTTACATTAAAACAAATAATTGAGAAAGGAGTGAAGTTTAATAGAGAAACACATTTAGCCTTTGTGGATTGAAGACTTTTGATAATGTCAACAGATGTAAATTATGGATCATTATGAAAGAAGGATTCCCATGTCATCTAATGCAAGTGGTGAAAAGTATGTATGATAATACTAATATACAGTCATACAGTAAAATACAATGGATTTGTTTCCGTAAAGAATATTATAAATATAGGAGTAAGGCAGGGAGACAATATAACGCCAACAGTTTTTAACGTATATCTGGGGTATATAATTAAAAGGTGGAAGAACATGTCCTCAGGAATTCACCTGGGCAAAAATAAATTTTAAAGTAGTTTTATATGCTGATAACCAGGTGATTCTGCATGAAAATGTAGATAATTTACAAAGTTCTATTTACCATTTGGAGCAAATTTTTAAGGAGTACAATCTAATAGTATCAGTTAATAAAACAAAATTAATGGCTTTTAAAGGAAAAGAATCAATAAGAACAAAGATTGTGCTTCAAAATAGGGTTTTAGAACAAGTGATGCATTTTAACAACCTAGGATGTGAAATTACATATGGAAGAGATAGGGAGATCTTCAGTAAGATCCATAAATTTCAAGCAATATGTGGAACTAATTGAAAGGTTAAATCACCAGAAATGAGATTTTTAAGAGGCGTTAAGTGCTATACATTAAGAGACCAAATAAAAAGTGAGAAAATAAGAGAGGAACTAGGGCAGAAAGAAACTTTACATGACAAAAATTAAGAAGTACAGACAGCAATGGGTGGCCCATATTGGAAATATGCTGCAAGACTTCCAGTGCAAGCTCTGAATTACAAGCTGAGAGGAAAGAGGCTAAAAGGCAATAAGCCCAATCCGTAAAGGAAGATGATGATGAATGTGCTGGTTGATGCAAAAATGTTACTTAGGGATGAAAAGTTTAGTTTCGTTTAACAAAACTTGTCTTTAAATTGGCGGGGAATTATCTATGAATATAAGAATAGAGGACTCCGAAATTAACGTAGGCCCAAGGGTCTCCACACCTGGTCCTTTCGACCTCGGTCTTAAAAATGGTGTTATTCAAAATCAACTTCAAAAAAGTAGCAGTACCTCTTGATAATCTCTTATCAGCTTTTAGTTGAAAAATGACAATTTCGCACTTGTGTCACTTTTCTATTGGAGGTGCAATATGCACTGTGTTTTAATATTAAGGCTGTGTCAAATGTACAGACATTACAGATTTTTCAAAATTTTTTGATATTAACGTTACACACAATTTATGACCATAGCGCCACATTCTCATATTTTACATGTTTTAATAAAAAAAAATTGTCTTAAATAATTTTAATTTGTAATTTTTTAAGTGGAGAAATAGAGAAAAGACCATTACAATATTAAAACTTCAGTTGAACCTAAATATTTTTTACTAAATAATTCTCCCATTACCCAGGAATTGCGCACTGGTCATTATTTCTTAAAATAAATAAATACATGATTGTTATTTAAAAAGACACTAAATCCAGCAACCTAGGTTTTGGACATCACCTTAAGAATATTTTCTATTGAAAAAGGGCACACTTACGTAGACTAAATTGTCTGTCATTTTTCAAAAGAAAATATTTTAATGTGCGAAGATTTTAATGTGTTTGAACATGAAGGTGCACTAACTGTTGTAGAACCTTTATCACAATTCTTTTTGTACTATGAAAATAAGAGCCGCAGGATGCATAAAGTAATCGTGTAAACATCTTGGATACGGGTTAATGTAGGTGAAGTTTTTCTTTCCATTTGTCACTGATAATTTGTATGCTGAAAATTCCTTACCCAAGATTACTTATATTCATTAATCGAGTGGTGACTAGGGGTGCCGGTGGTTTTTTCATGCTCTGTCAGATGGCGATATGTGGATAAAAAGGGAAATTTGAATCTGAATTGTCAGTATTGTAGAAAAAATTGTCATCTGTCCAAATTGCAATAGTCATTACCATGAGAGTTAACGTAAACTTAGGGGGAGGCTTCAGTTATGTGACAATGATCAAGGTGATATATCAATTACCTTAACCTCTCTTCTGACCTCGAGGCTGACACATCAACTGACTTTTGACTGCTCCTTCTCACCTTAGAGGAGGAACTATAAAGTAATGGATGATTTTTAGATCAGGAATTATTAATGCTTTTGATGTTCACTCATCTATTAAATAAGAAGTTCTGAACAAGAATAAACCATGGATTATTAAAAGGATACAACTGATATGTAAAAAGAAACAATTATGAACTCAATGAAAATCCACCAATCGTCAATTACGACACAGGAAATACAACAAGTTACACAACACAATTTCAAATGACATTCATGCTCGCAGGAGAAATTATGAACAAATTATTGCCAAGGCAAAGGATAAGGGTAAGTATCTGTACTCATACATTTGCAAAAATATTTCTTCCAAAGTTTCTATCGCATATACCCTCTGGAAAAAGGATGGGGATATGACTTCGGATTGTCTAAGAATTGCCTGAGTCGTTTTTGCCAGAGAACTGGAGAACATACATCACTGAAGAGAATCAACAGTGGAGCTCGCCAGGGCTCGATATTGGGATCAATCTTACTCATCCTATATAGCAACAACCTGCCGAATGGTATGCTCTCCCACTTCAAGATGTATGCTAATGTCACCAAATTCTATGCTAATCCTCTGGTGTATTATCTCCAACTTCAACAGGACTTGAATAATTTTTATGAATGGTCGAGAGTTTGAATGTTACCTCCGAATGAAACAAAATGTATTGTCGAGCGAGCATATTGGAAGATCCAATCCAAAGCAAAATTACCAAATTAGCAGAAGGAACTTGTCTGAAATCAAGGTCATGGAGGATCTAGGGATTATGATATAATGACCTGAAATGGAAAAACCACATAACATCGCAAAAAAAGGCTAACAAAGCCATATTTACACTGTGTAAAGCTTTTAACACAATAAGAAGTGATGTATTCACCTCACTATATAGTACCTATATTCTCCTGATAGTTGAATTTGACACCACGATTTGAAACCCTTACTTGGTCAAAGACATAAATCAGCTGGAAAACATACAAAGGAGAGCCACACATATCCCTATAGACCTCAAGAACACGACTTATGATCAACGACTAAGGAGACTCGAGCTTCTCACTCTTACTGCTACGAGACAACGTGGTGACATATTTGAAACATTTCAGATCTTGCACAGGCATTACAACTCTGATCTTAGTATCATTTTTCAGAGCTTTGAAAATCTGCAATTACGAGGTCGTAGTATGAAGCTTGTAAAATCTAGATATAATCTAATGCTGTATAAGAACTTCATAGGTAACCGAGTTGTTGACACCTGGAACATACTACCTCAGAACATGGTGACAGCTCCTAGTTTTTTGGTTGTTCAAAAGAGCTTATGATGGTCTCTTCAACGAGGAAGGCCATGGACTTCATTGATATGCAGACACTATTACTCCTTTTCAAGAATTGTGACAATTATTGTGATATTACATGACATTTACATTTACATGTGATATGAAATGTTGTGATAAGTCACAAATAATAAATTATGTTAGCACTGATTCGAGCCACATCAAATTGTACTGTTACCTGAATATTACATTAAATAAATAAATAAAATAAATTCTTAGTTTTGAAAACACCAATGGTTACAAACACTAATTCTTACTGATAAAGGATGCACTTATGTGGTCTGAATGGTTTGTCATTCATAAGCAATTTTTTAAGCTACAATTTTAATTAATTAATTACGTTAGCATCGATTCGGGCCACATCAGATTGTACTGCTACTTGTATATTACCTTGAATAAGAAAAATAAATAAAATTTTAAAAAAATTATAATTTTAAATTTGAATAACTAAATGCGCTGAAAGAATTAATAATACAACTGATTCTATTGTTGTGAATATTATCGAAATAAGCCACTAATTAATCATTATCTTTGTCTGCTTCGTTGTTTCATACTTTTAGAAAGAGGAGTTATAATTCAGGTATTGTTTCATAATATCCACATCTAATAAATGGCATCACTTTGAATCCACATACTTAATATGAAGTATTTATAATAGAATGAATTTAAAATGTAACAAAAATGAATGTTTATGTCTTTCAATATATAAAAATTTCTTATAAAATATGCATAATAACAATCATTAATTCTTTATTGAAGGGAAAAAATTTCTGGTATTTACATATTTTCCCTGACTTTTCCAGATAGTAATTTTTCCACATTTCCCGGTTTTCCAGGTTCATACGAACCCTGTAAAATGTAGTCACACACACACACAGATGAATTATCAACTGGAATTATGTTTTAAATTATAATATCTAGATACTTTAAACATTATGGAATATTGTGGATCATTTGCAGTTTCTAATGGCCTTACCTTCCACGTTTTCCGGAATCAAAACATAAGTTAAAATGGAAGTACCAAAAATATCAGTTGAAATAAAATGTTCTTTTAGAAATGAAGTCATTGAAAATACACTGTAATTTCCTTAATAAATTCTATTAACACAATAAAGTGTAAAAATCATTCACCTGATCAGGAGGTAATCCACGGTACCATGGAACCACTAATGAATGTTGAAATTTGGACCATTCACAATCGTTTCCAAGCCTCTCGGCTTCAGTTGGTTGTTTAAAAGCAGGGAGATGACATTTATTTTTAACCACATTCCAGTCAATCAGATAAGTGTCCAATTGTTCTGAAAAATCAAAGAAAATTTCTAGATACATACTCATGATTTGCATTTCATTTCAAAATAGATGACACAGCTATAAATAGCATTTTGAATATTCTGTTAATTAACTCACCCTGTTTTGTAACAGGAACAATGAGGAAATTGTTCTCTTCACTTTTTGGATCAGCCAAAACATATGATTTGTTCAATTTCAACAAATCAAAAAATAACATAGCATGAAATCGTTGAAGGCTTGATATTTCATGACTTTGTAAATAGAGGACTGCATTATTAACTACTAAATGTACTGCTACCTGCCCCACATTCAGATATACAGGAAAGTCACAGAGCTGTAAAGAATGATAAACACCACTAGTAAAATTAAAAAAACATTTCAACCCTTCCATGCTAAAGAAGAATAAAAATATTAGCAATTTATGATTCAAGAGAGTTAAACAAGATTTTACACACAAGCAGGTCCTTAGGCTGTTACTGAAACCAATCACCTATATTACACAAGTGAATAAAATCAATTTACTCTGATGATTCGAGCCTATATTTCTAGAATTTCATAAACATCATTTTAGGCTTTCAGAAAAGTCAATTTGGCCATTTGAGGAATTTTTCATGTTTTTTAACATTTTAGTGTTGGGCTGAACAATAAATAAAAAGGTTTTATTGCATGCTTTTGCTTCTGAACTTGACAAAAGTTTTCCTTAAAAAAGCAAATAAAATTTGAAAACAGATTTTGTTCTTGTTTTAAATTTTCTTATCCTACAATTGTTATTCTAATTTTTACTTATTTTACATGAATATAAGCAAACACACACACACACACATACACCCGTGCGCGCACGCGCACGTTGGAGGTTTTGTACCAAAATTAGGGAAAAAATGAAATAACTATATTCTGGCGAAATGTGATGTCGTGTTCACCAAGCCATGGCTCCATCCAGAAATTTCAAATGCGGAATTTAAGGTTAATAACTTTGTAAAACACAGGAACAATATAAATTATAATATTAGTATTTTAGTCAGAGGCCAGGGTGTACTTATCACAGTAAATACCTAAGTTTTGAATAAAACACTTCCACAAAAGTGTTTTGTAAATTCTCCTTTTTATAAAATGTCAGATAATAATAAATATTTATTTATAATAGATAAAGCCAGCAGATATACAGCCAATTACAAGCTCAAGAATAAAAAAAAAATAACTTCAGTGTGTAATGGCAGCTACATATTTCATCACAGAATATCATATCGAAAAAAAGAGACAGTGTGAATAAATCAATATTATTAGTGCAACTGCGTCAGAAATTATTAACATTTTCATTTTATATAAAGGAGAACTTTGCTGTAGAAGTGTAGTTATACAGAGGCTTGTAAGAGCATGGTACATGCCATAGAACCATTAGTGAGATCTGATCATGAACTTGTTAACAAGTATAGTAAAACCCTGTTTTTACGTTTTCCTTCCTTTTACATAATTTATCGTTGGTCCCATAAAAAGCCTGTATTTACAATGCATTCTCTTCCTGCAATATACAACTTGATGTGAAGAATACTTCCTGTCTTTTATGTCTTTCTTAATTTACTTAATTTTATTTTTTTACTTTCTCGTATGCGTATGTTTTATACCTGGTGCTGAGAAAGTCATGTAATGCTGCGGCACAAAGAGTGATTTTTTGACAGAAAAACTTGACTGATACAGAAAAATGGATAAATCCTGTATCCACTTTTACATACATATGTAGTAAAATACAACATATGTATGTAACGAACTAGCAAAAGCCTCGCGTTAGGTCAAATCAATCAAGGATTATCAATTTTGAAGAAAATTGGCAGGCGGTTTAGGCGCTTGCGTTGACCCCAGACAGGCAAACAGACGTTTTCATCCAGAAAAACAGCTGTGAATCGATTTAGTGGTTTCAAGGCCCCATGAAACAGGGATTGAGGCTGCACCATGTGTTAGAGGAAGTAATTTACTATATATAGAAATATGATTTCTCCACTTTTTCATTAGCAGGGCACGTCAATGGACTTTCTGATGAAAATCGCTGATTCTGGCACATGGTTTTACTTCGTCTTCTTACAAAGGTCGAGAAAAAGAAAACAAGAGTAACCATTGCAGTAAATAATGAAAGTACTCGCCTAGCCTATCGGTTTTCAACTTTCCTGCATTTTACATTTATTTTCATTGGTCCCTTGAAGGGAAGTGTAAAAGAGGGGTTTTACTGTAGCAATATAACAAAGAATTTTAATAAAGGAAGATATTAAAATCAGCTTCCTCCTGTCAGCCCGGCTCTTTGTATATTGTAGAGATTGACTTATGTTAATAGTTGATAAAGTTTTTTATATATAAACTTTTATGAATATATAAAAAACTTTTTTTTGAAATAGATATCAATTTTCAGAATTCATTTCCTGATTTGCTTCATTTTGTACAATTACCCTACTCATTTTGTTTCTCAATGTGATTTTCTTCTTCTCTTGCCTTTCTGCAGCCTAGAAACATTAGTTAGATTTGATAACACCAATTCTGGACAGTGTTTTGAATACTGCTACTTCAACTGATTGATTGGTAATTCCAGGTGCATCAACTACCGAGGTCATTAGTCCCATACTATAGTGCACGTTTTTTACTTGGGAGGTAGTGGGGGTGATCTTTTCCCTTTGGATGGTGTGATCTGACAATGCCCTACCGTCAGGGTTTACCCAACCGGGTATCTCTCACCAGTGGTGGATACCCTGCTCCCGCCTGGATGAGCTCTAAATTCCCAACTGGCCTCCCAGTACGTACAATATTGTAGTGCATGTGAGTGTAATTAGGGGTGAGTTAGGATAAGGAAGAAAAAAGAAAAATTGTATACTGTTCATGGCATGCTTGTTACAGTACTGCTCTAGCAATCATCTGGTATTGATTGAAGAAACCACTGAAAACTACCAATGAGAGCAGCCAGCTGCTAGAATTCTCCTGAAAGCAAATAAAACTCGACCTACCTATGTTGAAAGGGTCGAAAATCTTACCACCATCAAGGAATCGAAACTATGACCTCCTGGTAAGTTGATGCCCTGAGCCATCTCACCAGGGGGCTATTTCAATCAAACTGTGACAATGCAAGACCAGTTAAATAAATTTTTTTAAAATTGTAATCCATAAATAATTGACTTCACCAAATAAATGAAAACAAATGCAACAACAGCAGCTTTTCTCATAAAATGGGAAAAACGTTAAGAGACCCATAGGGACAAAGGAATAGTGTGTGATTCCACTGTGAACTCGCAGCCTTTTACATTCTGTCCCCAGTTGACATGGAGTGTAGTCTGGTCTTTCTCGTTAGCCCCTGGTCCTTCAACTATAAGGGTTCGCACAAAACCACCACCTGTCCATACAGATTGTCCACTTTATTTTAGAGTCTTTAAAGTCCCAACTCAGTTTAAATACACTTCAGAGCAGTCAACTGTAATACAGATCTTCTGTGCTTGCACACTTAAAGTCTCGCATCACATTCAAACATTTGTTTATGTACAGAAGATTAATATTGCCGTCAACTACACTGTGCTTAATTCAATAAACAAACTTTGAAAAGGATTTTCTCAAAACACTTTTCAAATGTAAGCCCTTTTCAATCCACTAACTAAATTATGACAATTTCTCGTTAAAATTACTTCAACATATTTTTTCCAAGATAAATAAAAAATCTCTTATTTGTTTCCAAACTTTTCCCGACAATTCTTGGTTTTTTAGGCCTCTGAAAATGTTTGGACATTTTAGAGCATTTTATGTGCAATTAATTCCAATTTAAGATTAATAAGATAAAATCATACATTCAATTGCAAATCTGAACTGTTTTACACATACATTACAAGTCATCTATAAAATTCTCTTAGAACTATGGCCTTAACTAGTTATGTTGTTACTGCATACAACATTTGTGATTGAATTTAAGATTTTAAAAATTAAAAAATTAAAAATCACCTCAGGAAGTTTTTTGCTGCTAAGAATTGCAAAATAGTGTTTTGTTTGTAGTAATTCATAAAATGCATGTCTTCTAGTATTATCTTCAGGAGGTTCCTCATATGATGGTGTCATATAAAGAACATGCATATACAATGGATCACGTTCAGAAAGAGCACATCCAATCATGCTCTTTGGGACCTGTAATTAACAACAGGCCTTAAAATAGTTTCCTCTGAGTTTTTATTATTTTTACTAGAAAATATTTTTTATTAAATACTCTAATTTAATTATTATCAAATTTATTAATTTAAATAATGATTTCTAGTTAAATGATACATTCAATAGGATTAATAGACAAAATAATAAACACAAAAATAAAGTATTTTAAATTAATCAACATTAATTTAAAAAAAATACATTCATAGTTAATAAATGTTGATTAATTTAGAAGAAATTAATTTTTGTGTCTTAATTACTGACTGCATAAATCTTATGGAACATATCAATGAACTAGTAATGAGAATGACTGTAATTAGGTTAATTTTACTAAATAATAATTTCTTCAGTTTTAGAAAACAATTTGATGATCATGTTGATTTATATAAAAAAAAACACTAATATAATTTCTACAATAAATATTCAAAAATATAATAAATCCCTTTTCAGAACTAACATTAAACACTGCAGAAAAGGAAATCAAAAATTCAATCAATGTTCTTATATTTTCAAACCTGCTTGCTGTAAGTACGTCGACATTTCTTTGTTCCTGGTTGTTCCATGCTCTCATTTTCTGAAGCTTTCTGATAGAGATTAAATATCTTTTCTTCATCAATAAATTGTTCAGGTGAATGTCCCACTGGTAGCAAGTGATTGTTTAATTCTCCAGCTTTATGAAGAGCTACACATGCTGCAAAGGCTGCAGACTGTTTTGCTAATTTTTTGTTTGGCATCTTTTTCCCCTGAAATAAATTATTTTTTAGTCAATATTTATTATCTAACATTCAATACAAAGGACAAAATTTTTAATACAGAAGATTATTCTCATTACAGTTTTTCTATTTAGTGAGGTTGTCTTTGTATTGTGTTTTTATACAAAATTATGGAAAGATCTAACAACCACCTTATTTCTCGACATTGCAAAATCCCTCTGCATTGTTATTCTCAGATACTTTTAGAGCTTAGTTAACTCGTACAGTTTCATTGATAAGGCTACAACCATTCATCACTTTGCCCTGACCCTTGATGACCATACACCTACCTGTAAATCCTATACTCCTTTCACATAATGTCCCGTAAGAAGCACTCTATCATCATCCATTATCTCACCTGGTTATATGAGTACTAGAAAAGATCTACTTTTCCATGTAATGTTTATATAAATAAGAATATAAACATACACATATGTGTGCTTGTATGTAGAATGGATTAATAACCATGCCTTGGATTGTTTTCACCATCAATGGCCAAAATGGCATGCAGAACAGGTCAGTGGGCAGGACAAGATGGGCATTGTTTGATGCACCAGAACGAGGAAAAAAGGAGGTCTTGTGCTTAGAAACGGCATATAGCTTACTCTTAAGTCTAGTAATTTCATTTGATACCTCCACAAATTCGTTAAATTCAACCCTACAGTATATAAAGAATTAATAGTGATGACTAAACATCAGATGTTTAGGTACTAAAAAATCCTCTTTTAGGCACTGAAAATGTCAAGAAAGAGAAAAAAGGTTACTTACACAATAAAATGGAAAATTTTATTTCCATTTTATGACAAATTAGCACTTACTGTAGAAGTCAGAAATCTCCGCTTTATTAAAATGTTAGTGGTCATACAACAAATTAAAAGTTTAAAACAGACATTACCTTAAATCCATCTTTCAGTGGTGAGTTTATGGGCAGTTGCAAAATGCACTGATAAGGAGGCACTGGTTGGTCCACAAGAAACCAGTATGGAACAAGTTTAGTATATGTATCCTGGGGTAATAAAGAGCAGTACCTATGACAAATAAGTTTGCAATAAGAAATACAATCCATTAATCTTAATATAGTGGGTGGTTGGTAAAGGTGAGTGACATACAGAGGATGATTCTCACAAAGGTGTAATTCATTGTGATGGTTATTTGATATTAATAGAGCTACTGTTGCCTGCATGTTAGGAATACCAGGGTATTTAATTTTCTTTCTGTATCAACAGATTCCAACTACGACTAGACAGGAATAAATGTGAGGTGATGTTTCATGAACGTAATACTTACTTTCGTGTCCCATTGTTAAACTTATGACTAAATACAATAATTCCGTGGCCATTGGGTATAAGTCCTTAAGTCAGTTTTAGGCAAAATTGGTTCAAGTACTAAAACTACAAGTAACATCTACATTTTATTTTAGTAAAAGGACCGACTTCATGACTCCTCTTTGAAGACAAAAAAGCATTGAGAAATATATAGTAATCGGCTTTACCCTTCAGCGTGGTATGCTGTCTGTAGATAGCAATTTCCTTTCTCTTCTAAACGTGGTATGCTGAACATGAACAGGTTGGATTTTCCTTTCCATTCACGGAAAGACGTCTCAGGACGGAAGGGACCTTTACCTACCTTTCATCTCATTTGCGATGTACCATTTACAAACGCTAGTCACTTGGCAGTGGCGTGCACAGCCAAAAAAAGTATTAAGGCGAGTTTTTGGTTTCAACTCGTGTGGTTTTTGATACAAATATTTAATATCAATTGAAGTGTTTCTATTTCTTTGTGAATGTTTTTTGTATAAACAATTAATTTACAATATATCACTTTATACGCACTACACACCATATTAAATTATTGTGACTGTCAGACAATCAATAAAATTGCCTTATCTTTAATATAGCCATTGCTAAATAAGGGCCACGTGTTATGGACCCCCATCATGACCCCCACCATTACAACTCCCCATCATGAGCTACAATGAGAAAAAAATGGGAACAGGTTGTGTAGGAACATTGCGTTTGAACAGAAAAAAAGTTCCTAAAATATTGTGGAAAAAGAAACTGAAGCGAGGCGAGTACATCGCCTAACTCTCAGGCCCTGTTTCAGTATTGAAATGGATGGATTAAAAGTCAGTTTCTATGCTGAGCACCTACTACAAGGTAAATTCAAAACAGCCATTACAAAGAGAAAAGAATAAATTTAAAAACCCACGTGCATTCTTGATTACAATAAATCTATGGGAGTGGTAGATCTGAAAGACCAGTACTAGCAAACGTACCTTTCTGAAAGAAAGAAAAGGGAAATGGAATAAGAAAATGTTCCTAAGGTTATTAAATACTTGTTGAACACATGAACACATTTATTATCTGCAAAAAGAATCCTACTGGGATCAGAATCGATTCTTTGAAAATTCATATTGATCTGGTTATTATCTGCTCATTCACATGACAAAAAAGCAGTATGGGAATATCATTTACGGAGTGATTTACATCGCTTGTTAGGAAGACATTTCCTTGAAAGAATTCCACCTCAAGGCGACCAAATTAAACAACAAAAACGACAAGTGGTAGTCACAAGAATGCAAGACGACAAGTGCCTATATTCTGATGCCCAGATTGAAAATTGGACTTTGACCTAACACCTGTTTGAAAAGTTATCATACAATAGAAAGTTATGAGGAGTAATCTGTAAAGAAAATTATTGTACCTTATTTTTAATTATGTGCTACTATTAATAAACATTGATGTAAATGAATGAAACTGTTACTACTATATTATAACTATTATTATTATTATTATTATTATTATTATTATTATTATTATTATTATTATTATTATTATTATTATTATTATTTATTATTACTATTATTATTACTACTATTATTGTTATTATTATTTTTATTACTATTATTATAACTACTATTATTATTACTTTATGTGATACACAAAGTAAACGAGCTAGAACAACAACTTTTGGAGTAAAATTTAGAAATAAGTGGACTTAATCTTGGAATTGAAACACTGGCAGAAAAAAAAACTGTGGATTTTTTAGTCAAGGTTGTGGGGAAAAAATTAGTGAGAGTAACAGATGTAGTATAGGGAATAAATAATACAAAACATCAGAAATTAAAAGTAATAGTCAAATTCAACTCCAAAAGATCAGAGATAAAATCCTAAACAACAATAGAAAGAAAATGCAAAACAAGGACTTATTTAAAAATGGGTATGATCAACCTTTGTATATCAACAAAAATCTAACACAATATAACGCAAATCTACATAAGCTAAAATGAGCTAAAAATAAGGCCCAAGAAAAAAATATATTATTTAGCTGGGTTAGAAATGTAAAGAATTAATGGGAAAAAACAAGGGGAAGTAATGTGATTAGAATAATGTCTGAGGAAGATTGGAACAAATTAAACAGAAATACAAAGGTAAAATCAAACAAAAGCTATTATGGATATTTCCTTTAATAATTTAGAGATACAAGAAACTAAAATTTACAACCACATTAAGGATTTTTATCATTTAATTAATTCAAATAAAGAAAAATTTAATTCAATTCATTTAAATATAAGATCAATTAGAAAGCACTGGATGAATTTTGGGGAGTTGTAAGAGATAGCTTCGAAAATATGGATGTGATTGTCTTGAGTGAAATTAAGTGTCAAAAAGAAGGACGACCTAATAGAATATCATTTTCAAAATTTTAATAGATGGCATAATGCAATTTGTAAAGGAATTGTACAATTTTGTCCATTGAAACGTAATGTGAAAATGAATAAATATCATTGAAGATATTTTGTTACACAATACACACTACCGGAGTGTAGAGGTCGCAAGGACTTTCAGTTAAACGCCCGTTGAGTGCGAATATGCATTTTACAAGAAATGGAATGGAAATAGTCAGGTTCATAGAAGCATGTACACATTCAAAATCCAACCACAGAAAAGGAAGATAAACAAATATTTTCTAATCAAAATCTTCCCAAACTTGGCAATTAGCCACTATCTTCAAGAAACAGATGATCAGACATGAAAGAGTTCGCAGTTCACATCCTATAAATACATATCAATAATCACATAAATATTAAATGACACTAATTTTGAGAATATTATT